TTAGTCACACTAAAAAAACAAAATGGCCTGAAAAAACATGCCACGCCCAATACCTGACCCTGAAAAACATGGGTTCTCACATGGGCGACCCTGAGCAATCAGCCTCCCTAAAACCAATCTGAGGGCCTGGCTACAATCGACGAACCTATGGAGATTGAACGCACATGGGGCAAGAAAGAGTTAATCGTACATGATGCTTGGGCACGTCGCCGACATCTCGGCATACCTTGGGCTGAAACTGCAGAAGAAGCCGGGTTCATCCAGCCTTTCGGCACCGGCCGCTACGTTAACCCTGCGCCAACGATTAATCTTTCGCTGGCCTTCTTCCTTCATTCCGACTTGTACCTGCGTTCAAAGGGACACAAAACTACATTAGAAATATGGCACAAGCGGTTAGGTCATCCTTCGCAAGAAGCTCTTAACAACTCGATTAAAGCCTCGATTTTCGACAAGGACGCTCTCCTTTTAACCAACGGCCAAGAACTTTGGCCTAGCACTCTCCAACTACCCTGCACAATCTGCCTCGAAGCTCACTTGAGTCACGCTCCGTTTTCGTCACACTTTCCGAGTGGTGCTAAGTACTCACCAATGGACGGCGTCTTCAGCGACATACTTTTCATGCCGCACGAAGCAGAGGATATCAGCGGCAACGACTACCACTATATAATTACCTTCATAAACGGTGCTACTCGATATGTCTGGCACAAGAATATCTCTCACAAGTCTGAAGCTCTCAACGCCTTCAAACTAGGGCTGAAAATCGTGGAGCGGCAGAGCGGCATCAAGCTGAAGGAGATCCAGACAGACAACGTGGGCGAGTGCACTAGCGAGCAGTTCGATGAATTCTTGGCGCGGAAAGGGATTCTCAGGCGCAAGACTATGCCTTATGCCCATCAGCAAAATGGAGTAGCTGAGAGGACGAACAGAACATTGCAAGAGAAGATGCGCGTGCTACTGCAACGGTCCAACTTGACAGCAGACTTTTGGCCATTTGCGATGGCGTAAGCTATCAGACTACACAACTGTATGTCTTCGACAGCTCTTCCTCAGTTCAGCTCGCCACCCGTCATGTGGACAAAACACCCCACCGACACTAGAGTATTATGAGTTTGGGGCTGCATGGTCCAATACAGACCTTTGAGCGCAACTGTGGGCAGGTTTACTGAACCCGCTCGATGGGGAATACATCTTGTTGTAACCAAGGATTCCTATTTCTGAATAATTATGGATTACGAAACCCGAAAGTTTTTGTATGCCCGAGACTGAATCTTCTACGAGATTTTTTTTCTCGATTACTTCGAACGCGACAAGGAACGCCAGCAGCGAGATCCAAATCGCTACAGTGGGGAACAAAGTTTCGCCACCCCTCATGACGAAGCAGATGTAGCCGAAGAATACTATCCGCCCGACAGCGCAGCAGCAGGACCTTCTACAGTTCCGCAGCCATCTACGTCAGCAGCCGAACCATTGTTCGACTCCTACATTCCTTCGACACATGCCAACAATACAGATTCCCCGCTCTTCATTCCCCTCTCGGACCCGTTGCGTCCCGCCATGACAAAGGCTACCTATAATTATGAGGAGCACCTGCGCTGATATAAAACTAACGCAGGATCACATGACGGTGCGCACCATCTGCCATCCGAAATTGACGACGATAACGTCGTCGAAGTTTGCCAACCTCATCCTCGTGGTGACCAATCGGCTCTTCATATCCTTGGCCTTGCCGTCGCAGTTCAGTAACCAACGGCTGGGATCGAACCGAAAATAGTCACGCAGGCTCTCTCCAGCTCTGATGCTGACAAGTGGCGAGCAACTATGGATGCAAAGGTATCGGCTCTCGAGAAGCGGAAAACGTGGAAAATTGTTCCATGCGAAGCAACACGCGACAAGAAAATACTTTCGGGTAAGTGGGTCTTTCGTATAACGACAATTGCAGCAGGCGGACCAGACATATTCAAGGGGAGTTGGGTCGTTTGAGGTTTCGAACAAACCCATGGCATCGACAACGACCAGACTTTCGCTCCAGTCAACCACCATACCTTAGTTCGAATTCTCCTCGCTATTGCTGCCAACCACCATCAGCCACTTCGCCAACTGGACACTAAGAATGCGTTTTTATACACAGACGTTGCTGCGGATATTTTCGTCGAAATCTCTCACACTTACAGAGACGGAAACCACATCTCCAAGTTACTGAATCAGGCTCCTCGCCTGTGGCAGCAGCATCTTTACAAGGTTCTGATTTCACTCGACTTCGTGCAGCTGCCCCACGACCCTGGAATGTACAGACTCGAATTTTGGGGGCACTACATTCTTCTAGTCGCCTACGTGGACGACTAACTGTACACCGGCTCGTGCAATCTACTGTCGTGCATGGAGGAAAAAAACGAAATGATTCTTGAGGTTACTATTTCCCCAAACGTCACCTTATTTCTTGCGTTAAACGTCGGATGCGACCCCGATGCCATCTACCTTTTTGCAAGCAAGTACACAGAAACACTTGCGAAAAAGTTTGCCATCGCTCCCATCGGCCTCGCCACTCCATTTCGTCACATTTCGGCCGATCATATACCTGATACTACCCCACTTACCGCCTTCGAGCATCAGCTTTACCAGCAGCAGCTCGGGTGTCTTATATCTGCAACTGTTACATGCCGACCAGATCTTGCCTACATCACAAGTCAGCTTGCACAATACCTGCGGCAACCTGAAGGGGAGAATATGGCCGATCTTCGTTGAGCCCTCCAATATTTCATCTCTACTCCTACAATCGGTCTCAGCTACACGACAAATACTGCAGCAATTTTTCGACTGATTGGATACGTTGATGCGGATCATGTTGCTGACCCCGACAACAGGCATACACGTACAGGGTTCATCTTCAAACTTGAACTGGGTGGTGTCATTTCTTGGAACTCAACGAATCAGGAGGTCATCGCACTTTCATCAGCCGGAGCAGAATTCGTCGCAGCAAGCTCTGCAGTTCGCGAATGACTCTATCTTCAAGTGTTACTTCAAGAGGCGAAAATCGCGGCGACATGTAACTTTAGGTTACTCTGCGACAACCATAGTGCAATCAAGTTTGCAAACAAGACAAAACACATCGCCCTTCGACACTTCTTCGTCAAGGACGAAATCGACAAAGGGAAGGTCATCCTTAAATAATGCCCTACAGAAGAAATGGCAGCTGATTTTCGGACGAAGAAACTCCCACGCAGCAAGTTTCAGTACTGCTCCAACCTGGTTGAAAACTACAAACGAGGCAACACTTACCCAAAGACATACACTCATGAATGAAGGGGAGTGTTGAAGTATACTTGACAGAGTTACCACTTATGCATTCTTGATATTATAATTAGACTGTACTTGATGCCCGATACCTCATATGGAAGGACCGGCGTGATGATGTCAGCAGTGGCAAGTCAACCCGTGAACAGTAGGTTCGCGCGTATAGTCACCCAAAGGGTCACGCCACTCTCAGTCACTCATGTCATGGAAATAGTCGCGATACACTACGAACAAGTACATGTCCGAATAGGTACTTCCTAGACTCTGCATTACTTATTATTATTATCCTTGTCATTTCGGACATTTCCAATACAAGGTGTATAGTCTTCCGCTGAATTTTAATCATGGTTCCACCAACTCTAGATCGTGGCCACCCTAAACACGTGGTTCACTTCAATAGGTCCCGCATGCAGGCAGCTTCCCCAAAGTTCTGATAAGCCCAACAACAGGGTAGAAAAACAGGAAACGGCACAGATGCAAAGCCAATGATCGGGGTCGCCGCATTGTCACTGTGAACAATCCCACACTACCATTGGTCCCCCGTAACCACAGACTGAAGACGTGGCCCCTGGCAAACCACCATGCTAGAAGGGCAATCTTTACACGCAAACGCTGCTCTATGGATGATGGTTGCGTCTTGGGAAAACATGTGGTGCGAGCAACAATACCACAGACCCTACTACCATGCACAACCAAGAGGATTTCGGCTGGAAGGGGTACGAAGGATTTGCAGAACATGCTCAATTATTACTGCCGTATGATATGCCAGCTCAAGTTGCAACATGAGTTGCAGATAAGAAAATTTTGTAACGAAGCATTGCTCGTTTCATGAGTTGCCATCCAGGTGAGTCGAATGGTATTGTTTTGACATGTATGCTAACATTTGATCCAGGTAAGGAGAGCACAGTGAACGTGGATTACTACCATGGGGTATAGTAAGAAGTGCAATAATATGGTTATTTCTTAAAATCCGCAAGCATTCATAATTCCACTCACGTTATGGAACATCGTTGTACAGGGTTAGCAATTGTATCAGCTTCAAAGGAAATGCTTTTTCCTTATCCGGGGTTTTAGTTAGTAAGGCGTACACTGCTATAACGGGGTTGCCGCCCAGCTCTGCAATGAAATTCAAATCGCGGCACCCAAATGTGGTCTCCTGACGAGCCGCATGCATTTTGCCCGCCTTGCTGTTTCATGCCTATATTTGGGTGCTTCATGTGAATTTACAAACCACACGTCTCATCTCTGCCAAGCCTCGACCGTGTGCTCTAGGCCTAGCTATATACACGCTCCCTATTGTTTTGATATTGCCTCATTGTATTGTTTCCTCGCTACTCAATTATTCGACACACACTTCTTGCACTTCATTACACCTGGCTATCAGAGCCAACGATCCTCAGCCTTGTGCTATCATTCCGCTGCAATACCGACCCTTAGGGAGGCTGATGTCTTGTGCTTACTGCCTATCCGTTGTCTTGGTAATATTAATCGATAATTACCTATAGGCACGACTGTGTTTGCAATGCCAGCATGCCGAAAGCCGCCCAAAATTTCCACGAAATGGTGGAGACACCATCGTCTAATGCCATGACTGTTGAAGAAAGGGCGGAAACACTCAAGGAAGTGTGTTTGATTAACGAGTTGTATCAGTAGGAGTTGGCGCGTCTGCGAGCTGAAACCGCCCAAGCTGAATCTGAGATATCTGCATTAAGGAGCATGGTGCCCAAGACTTGACACAACACGGCCCCGCCAATGACAAACCAAGGACAACAGGCGCAAATTAACTCTAACAACATTGCGAAATGCCTGACGACAATCGGCAACCACATGCAACTACGCCCGAAGGCTCGACGAACAATCCGTCACCGATCATTGGACGAACAAAAGTTGGCGAAGGGACGAATGTCAACCTGCCTCCCCAAATTACCTCTCCCGCCGGCCTGCAAACAGCAAATATCAACATGGCGCCGGGAATACTCAAAACGTAGAGGCTGTCCACATTCGACCCAAGCTAGCATGGCATTTTGTCTGTCACCTGATGCATTTTCCATCTGAACGTTTTTTATGACTGCAGCCTCGTCGTCAAAGATTCGTAGAAGACCCGATATGCAGTATCTGTGCTACGTGGATTGGCAATGGATTGGTGGCAACAGATAATACAGTTGCAGGAGCCGGATACAATGCCGCGCGTGATCGGGCGTTTTTGCACAACAAATCACTGGGCAGGAAGCTTTTGCGAGGTGGGCGAGTACAACACACGGCAATCGTAGTGCGCGGGAATTCATCGCCACTTTGAACACGTCAATGCAAGCAGTCAAGCGCGCAACCGCCTTCGCACGTGGTGCCAACTGGGATCGGTCCAGGACTACACCAACAATCTCAAGAACCTATAGTATGCGACCAGGTCGGCTACATTCACCATGAAAAGAAATTCCCTGGAGCATCGGATGTTATAATTTTTAGGGCCCGTCATTTCCACTAAGGGCGTCAAAGTGAACCCACGCAAGATTGAGATAGTGCAAGTCTGGCTACCGCCTTCGAACCTGCAGGAGCTGCAAAGTTTTTTAGGGTTCATCAATTACGTTTAGAGGTTTATCCCAAATATGGCGAGGGTAATTCCTACGTTGACTGACCTTCTGTAGAAAGGGGCTGAGTGTAGGTGGGGGGGAGAAAGAGCAAGCTGCCTTCTCTGCGCTCAAAACTTTTCTGTGCTCAACCCATATCCTTCGCATCGCCGATCCTCACCGTCCGTTCGAAGTCATCACTGGCGTTAGTGACATCGCCATCGGAGCAATGTTGTTACATGAATTTGGCCACGGCCTACAGCCAATCGCATACGAGTCACGGAAGTTACACCTGCACGAGCTAAGCTGTCTGATACATGACAAAGAGATGCTCGCGATTGTGCATGACTTGAACATTTGGCGGTTCTATTTGACGGGCGCGGACGTGACAATACGGACAGACCATCGCACCCTACAGTACATTCGTGCACAGCCACTGCTCAACCCACGACAGATTTGGTGGTTGGATTTTATGGAATCCAATTTCCACTACACTGTCAGCTACAAAAATGGGGCATCCAACATCACAGACCCCCTTTCTCGCCCATCTGCCCATCTCAACTCATTCATCCTTACCCAAAATTCCCACTATTCACATGCCTGTTTACCCACGGATAGCAGACCGAACGATTCTTTAGATTCGGTGTGGACGAATAGCTTGCAACAGTAAAGGGATTCTATTATGTCAAGACAAGGACTGGCCAAATCTGGGTACCAGAGTACACCATAGTATAGGGGCTACTACTGTAGGTAGCCTACGATAGTACCATTTCAAGGCACTTCGGGGTGGAGAAAACACGGCAACAGTTGACCAAATATTATTTCTGGCCTGACATGAAGGGGGACGCGCAGCGGCATGTGGCTTCGTGCAGAAACTGTCAAACCATGAAGTCGTCGAAGCAGAAGCCAGCTGGACAGTTGCAGCCGATTTTGCCGTGTGAACGTGCGTGACAGCAGGTGACAACGGATTTCATCACGGGAGAGCCTACTAAGGACGGCTGCAATGATGCGATATTTGTAGTCGTCGACAAGGTGACGAAGATGGCACACTTTATTTGCAAGAAAAGCATCTCAGCCGAAGAAACCGCCCGTCTCTTCATCTCGACCGCGTCCGACTCCACGGAATCCCATCCGCCATCATTTCTGATCATGACACGAAATTCACTAGCAACTTCTGGCGCAACCTTTAGGACCAGTTTGCACGCGCCTGTAGTTCTCCCCCGCCTATCACCCCAAGACTGACGGACAGACCGAACGAGCCAATCAGACAATGGAGCAGCAGATTCGCCCCACCTGCGATGACGTGGCCGACTGCGAGTAGCAACTGCCACTGATTGAGTTCGCGTGTAACAATGCCCTGTCAACCACTACCCGACAGTCACCATTTTGCCTGAATGACAGACAAAACTTCACCGTACCGATCACACCCAGCATAAAAAATCCCATGCCCCGAGCTCAACGGTTCACAGAATGCCCGGGAGCGAGTAGCAGAAGCCATTAAATACGGGAACGTAATTTCTAAGCGTAACACGGATCCATACCGACAGGCGGTGACCTACCAGGAAGGAGACTTTGTACTGCTCGACACCCGGAACCTTCGACTGCCCATAGTTTTGAAACTACACCCCCGCTGCTGTGGACCATTTACAATCAACCACATGATATCCTCCATCACACCCCATCTACTGTTACCAGCTACCTGGAACGTCAGTCCATCATTTCATGTGCAGCTGCTGCAACCATACATCGCGAGCACTAGCAGACTATCACGCCACAGAGCCAACCCACTATCCCAAATATCCGACAGCTTGCCGAACCGACCATCGAACCTGCAAAGATTTCAGTCATCGGATCTAGGTGTCAAACATATATGTATATGCTATTATATGTTGGATATGTGCGTTCTCTTAGAGAGTACAACCCCTTAGCACAAAACCACCCTGTATCTCTCATTTTTGCTAATTCGTTACTCTGAGATGGTATCACGCTAGGTTAGGTCCTCCCCACTCACCCGCACTTCCGCCCTAGTCCTAGTCCTAGACCTAGCCGCCTGTCACTAGCCGCCCATCGTTAGCCGCCCGTCGCTAGCCGTCCGTAGCCGCCCGTAGCTGCCCATAGCCCCACGCCCGCTAGCCCCGCGGTCGCCAGCCCTGTACCTGCTGGCCCCGGGTCTGCCCGCCCCGCGCCCGCTGGCCCTGCATTCGCCAGCCCCGTGCCCGCCCGCCCCGTGCTCTCTGGCCCCGCAACCGCCGGCCCCTGCGCTCGCCAGCCCCGCGCCCGCTGGCCCTGCGTCTGCTGGCCCCGCGCCCGCTGGCCCCGAGTTCGCCGGCCCCTTGCTAGGTCACCCCGCGCCCGCCAACCCTGCGCTCGCGGGCCTCGCGCTTGCTGGCCCTGCGCCTGCTGGCCCTGCGCTCACACCGGCCCCAGCTTCGTCGGTCCCCGCTCCGCCGGCCCCAGCTCCGCCGGCCGCAGCTCTGCCGTTCCCAGCCCGCCCCGGCCGCACTGACCCGCCGGCCTTGGCTCCCCCTCTGTGCCGGCGCTCCCGTCGGAAGGCTTCACGGCACTCCACCGCTCTCCATCGCACTCCACCGCACTCAACCGCTCTCCACCGCTCTCCACCGCTATCCACCACCCTCCTCAGCTTGACTCCTCCCCCCATCTGCTGCAGTCAAATGCTGCAGCCGTGGTGATGGCGGACTCTGTGCTCCGCCTGGACGTGGAGGGTTGTGCCGTTGATTTTTAGGAGTGGCTCATTGACCTCCGCCGCCAGCTGACCCATCAGCACTAGGACGGCTACTCTCTGGCCATCCATGTCGACGGTGCCCCACCACACCCGCTGCCCTCCTTGACGCCCCCACGTCTGCTGAGCGTGAGGCCTCTGCTGCTGCTGAGCTTGCCAGTGTTGTCGGGGAGTCGCGCGACGCTGTTGCACAGCTCGCCATTAGTCGTGCCCTTCCCATGTCTGAGCGTCCCCACTTTACCGCTATAGCGAATGCAAAGGAGTACTTAGATGCAGTCATTGCGTGCTATTCTTATCCCTCCTCCGCCTCTGCCGGCCGTCTGATCCTCCCTATGCTGTTCCCTGATCTTGCATCCTTCCCCACTATCGCTGACCTTGCCACCCACCTCCGCGCACTTGAGACTAGCTACCGCGCCGCTAGCACTGAGGCACAACTGGCCTTCCCGCCGCCGCTTTGCGCTACCCTTCACCTCATTGCCATGCGCCTTCCTGACCGCCTAGCCACTGTCTGCGACCACTTCTTTAGTCAGCACCAAGGTGACCTCACCCTTACTGCCTTCGTCACAACCCTGTCGGCGATAGAGCCCCGCCAGCGCACTATCGCTCAGTCTAGCAGTACTGCGGCAGTCCCTATCTTCCAGGGCTGTGCTCCTTCCTAGTGCACTTACTCTGACATTGCTACCACTGTCCCTGAGACCACCCCTGCTGTTGAAACAGCTGCCGCGACCTCATAGTAGCTGCGTCAGGGTAAGGGCCGCCACCCAAAGAGGGGGCATGACGAAGGGAAGGGTGGTGGGGGTGGTGGGGGTGGTGGGGGTGGTGGGGGTGGTGGAGGTGGGGGCGGGGACGGTGGTGCAGACGAGGGGACTGGAAATGAAACCCCGGAGCAGCAGCAGCCTTTGCAGCAGCAGCAGCAGCAGTCCCAGCAGTAGAAGCAGCCGTCGTGGGGATCTCCGCCGCCGTGGTGGCCTGGCGGCGCTGGTGGTGGTCGTCGTGTCGTCGCGCAACTCGGTGTCGGGTGGCAGCTCCAGTGTGGTCACCTGCCAGTACCAGCTTTAGTCTGGTCCCTGCTGTGGCACCGTCTGCGACCATCCTGGTCACACCACCACCCGCTGCTACCGCCGCCTAGACGACCTCTTCCGTCTCCGCTTCGGCCCCACGTCAGACCCCCCCCACTAGAATAGCCTGGTGCGTCGTCGTGTCCCTATCTTTGAGATTGACATGGATCCGATTAGGTCTGCTATGTATGCCATGCCTGCTAATAACTCTAATATGATTGGACCCTATTAATCGGTGTTGCCTAGTATTGGTGTGTCCACTGTGTGTAATCTAGGTTCCTCTGCTGCATCAGGCGTAGGACCACCTGCCTTGTTTAGCCTCGGCTCCACTCTAGCTCCTCCTCCTGCGGCCGCTACCGCTGTGCTCTCGTTTATGCTAGACTCTGGTGCGTCCGCTTGCTTCGTTTGCGACCACACTGTGCTCCCAGCCGCTGTAGGGCTTGCTGACCCCTCCTCAGGTCCGGTAGTTGCCCGTAGATCCACTACCATTCCCTGTCTGGCAGTTCCCTCGGGCTCTTTTACAGGCTTGCACATCCCCTCGTTCTCCAGAAACCTAGTTGGTGTCGGCTGTCTTCAGGACCTCGGCGTCACCATTACGTTTCCTGGACACGAGCGGTACGCAGTTTGTACCAAGGCCGCCACTGGTGCCCCTCTCACCACGTCCCTGTGTCTGGCCTATTCACCCCAGACACCGCGTCCTGCCGGGTGGGAGTGTCCCCCCAGGTCGCCGCGTCCTCCTAGGTTGCTACGGCCTGCTCGTGTCGTTTGCTCACCCACCCGTCACTGCTGTGGCACCACCGCCTAGGTCGCCCTGCACTCCCGCATCTGCGTCACATGTCCCATCATGGTCTTGTCTTAGGTATCCTTGCTTCACTCCCTGCCCTCCCTACCTCACCTGTGCCGTCATGCATGCTTAACGTCGAGGGCCGGCTGCACCGTGCTCCTCACTCCTTGCTCCCCCCTACCATTGCGCCACTCTAGACCCTGCACCTGGACGTCTGGGACCCAGCCCTCGTCCCTGGGCCGCGTCGAGAGTGCTACTTTCTAGTGGTTGTCGATGACTATATGAGCTACACCACGGTGTTTCCCCTGGAGCAGAAAGCCGACGTGCTTATCCCGTGGGTCGTAGCTGCGCGAGTCCACCGCGGCCTCCCTGTGCTGCGTCTTCACTCCGACCGTGGCAGTGAGTTCGCCTCCGGTCGACTTGGCCAGTTCTATTGTGCGGAGGGCATCACCCAATCGTACACCCTACCGGACTCCCCGCAAGAGAATGGGGTTGCCGAGCAATGCATCGGATTTGACATGGAGGTGGCTCGTACCTCCATGATCCATTTCCGTGCACCCCATTTTCTGCAGCCAATCGATGTTCGCTACGCCGCTCACCAGCTTAACCTGTGGCCGCACTCCCAGCGGCCGCGGGTTTCGCCGACCCTCCTCTGGACCGGGTTCCCTGGTGATGCGTCTGCATTCCTCATCTGGGGCTGCCTTGCTCATGTTCGTGCCTCTGGCACGGACAAGCTCACTACCCGCACCGTCCCTTGTGTCTTCCTTGGTTTCCCCCTAGACGCATCTGACTAGCATTTTTACCACCTGCCGTGTCACCGTTTCTTTCACTCTCGTGACGTCGCTTTTGACGAGTCTGAATCCTTCTACACCCGCTTTCCCCACCAAGGTCTCCTGGTTGCCCTGCCCCTGTTCCTGGTCCCCACTCCCCCGATAGCCCCTGCTCCTCTTCCTCCCTGTCTTGCCCCGTCTTGTGTGTCTCACATCACTCCTCTCCTGTCGGTTATCCCGGTGGAGGAGTCGGCTGACTCTGGGGGCCCTGCGGCTTCGGTTTTGCCGCCTGTCTCTGCCTCGGTGCCTCCTCCTCCTCCGCTGCCGCAGCAGCCGCAGTCGCCATAGCAGCAGCCGTCGTTGCCGCCACCGCCGCCGTCGAACGGGTCCGCGAGCTCTGGGGGTGTGGGCGTTGAGGAGGGTGCTTGTCCTGGGGGTACTTTTGTGGCTTGTCCCGACAGTCCTGGGGGTGGCACCGGTGAAGGAGAGGGTTCTCGCTCTGGGGGTGCTGGTTCTGGGGGTGCTAGTCCTGGGGGTACTATCGTGCCTTCTCCCGGCGGTCCTGAAGGTGGCACCAGTGCTGGAGGAGGTTTTCGTTTTGGGGGTGCTATCGTGGAGCATACCGGAGGTACAGTGGCGGAATCAATTGTCCGTATGTTTTGCATTAATTTGGGTTTTTAAGTTTTAAGACCACTATACATTAAGCCTTAATGTTTAATGGTGGTATGATTTGGGAGGGGCACATATTGGATGTATTCATAGCACAAATATCCAGAATAGTACATTGGATCTAACTCATATCTCGAAAGATATACAAAGTGTACATTCGGACAAATAATTCCAAGTAGAGAGAGCAAACTTCAAAAGTGTGTTTCTAGTTCCTAGCCCACTGACCTTTGGCCTTTGATCACTGCCCGCACCCTCCTAGGTGAGCTGTCGATGAGGCTAGAGCAAACCTCGGCAAGGATCTTCTCCCATTCTTTCTGGACCAGCTCTTAAAGCTCCAGCATTCCAGAGGAAGGCCTTTTATGCTTGACTAGCTCCCTTTTCAGATAAGCCCAGAGGTTGAGGTTTGGTAAGAAAGAAGGCCACTCCAGGGTTACATACTCATCTTCTCCAAGTCATTCATGCACTAGGCATAACAAATTCTTAGGGTCATTATCCGCACCGAGATGACCTCAGAGGGGAAAATGCTATAGAAATGGAGGGTCAATTCGAGTTCGCCATGCAAAATTCCCACATACACGGGCCTCTCCATGCGTCCGTCAACCTTGCGTATGAACCCCACCCCCGCACATGTCACACATCCCCACATCATCACCGACGATGTCCCCATGGTTTACTGTTTGTTTGATTTGGTGGTGTTGCAGGGTTGTGCCTTCAAGAATCCAGGCAAACGCGTGGCCATTGGAGCTGAAGTAGTTGATGCTGGTCCCATTTGACAAGATCACATGCTTTCGAAGACTAATTGTCCACTCAGCATGCGACTCCACGAATTACAGCCAGCCCCTGATATCTTTCCACAACAGTCCTGGCTTTTATGACTGCTGCACCGTGACTAGACCCGCAGACACTAGTGTTGTGAGAGTACGACCCCGTTACACCTCTTGGCCTTTTCTACTTCCTTCCTATTTTCATTTCTCTTTTATCTCATCTCATTTGGTTTCCTATTCTCCCTTTTCCATTCACCTTTGGTTTATCCTGCTATTATAATTATATCACCGACCAGGCTTGGGATGTACTGGTGCGCTATATCTAGCGTAATCCTGCCGTAATCCCTTAAAGCCAATAGCCTCGCGTGGCTATACGCACGGTGATTCTATATTCTAGAAGGGTCTATTCTCTTAGGATAAGATAAACCTGGTTACCTGATGTACTGTGTAAGTATAAAAGCGCCTTGTACTGATCGATAGCGCAATCTTTCCTCAACACATTCGATCCTGTGACACTTGGTAATCAAAGCTTTTCTCACTCGGCCGCGCTCAACAAAGCAGCAGCAGTGGGAAACCTGCCTCGAAAAACCGCCGGGGGCGACCAATTCGACGCCGATTCTGGTAAGCACCAGCTCCGCGTTTTTTCGAATCACCCCCCCCGCGCGTGTTTTGAACAGGATGGCAACCTTCGACAACGCCGAGGTTACCCAGTAGCTCTTCGCGCGCATCGCAGCCCTTCAGGAGGAGATGCGAGCAGATCGCGAAGCGTGGCGAAACGAATTCGAGCGAGTAACTCGACTCGCCGGGGCGCAGCACGACTCGACAACGGCGACGACGCAGCAGTCGCAGCAGTTTCTCGAGGCTCTGAAACCGCGCCCATCTGAGCCGTTCGATCCGAGCGATCGAAACTCCGACGCCCGCAGATGGATCGCCGGGATGGAGATCTACTTCGCAGCCGTCGGATGGAGCTCGCCAGTCTGGGACGGTCAACGTGTATGACTCGCGGCGACACTGATGCAAGGGCCGGCACTCGAGTGGATTGGCAGCAACAGTACATTCATCCACGGTGAAGCCACGTGGCAGCAGTTCCGCGCCGACCTGCTGAAGCGTTTTGAGCCGATAAATTCGAGTTTCCTTGCCCGGGAAAAAAATCATCGACACCGACAGTTCGGGAGTGTAGCGCAGTACACGCAGCAGATGGGGGAATTTTATAACCGCATTCCCGACCTGATCGAAGGGGAAAAAGTACAATCGTACCTCGCCGGGCTGAAGACCGAAGTCAAACGACAAGTGGCAGTGTCAGACTACGCGAGCTACAGTGACGTCGTTTCGGCAGCGGAGCGCTTCGACATGGTCAACGCCAGAACACAACGGACGCACGTCGGCAGTACGCAACAGGGCGACCGCTCGGCTCACCCCACGTTTGCCGACCCGATGGAAGTCGACAGATTCGAGGGTCGGCCACGTCCGAAAAACACCAACTACACGTGTGATTTTTGCAGGGTGTCGGGTCATCGAATCTTCGACTGCACCAAAATTAAAACCGCACGCGCTGAGCATCGGGCACGCAACAGTGGCGGAACTCCTTCGGCCAATCAGAAGGCAAAAAACGGGAGTCACCAGTGATTGCGGATCTAGCTGGCGAAAATAAAAAGATCCGGAAGCGACCGCGGGATTCCGGGAAAATCAACTTCGACGAAGCTGATTCGACGCGAGAAGGAGGAAATGATGGGGGAAAATCTCCACCCCACGACCAGTCTTTGCCAGGGAAAATCGCCGAGGAAAATTACGACTTCGTGAAAAAAGACTCTGCCGAGATGGGGAAACTCCTTGAAGACCCAAGAAATTATAAGGATTCGTTAAAGTTATCTTATAAAGATGCTTTAATGAAAACTTATGATTTTCGAGGGGCTAGAGCCTTGGAGAAAATTCGAGAGAGACTCCAAAAGAAGCAGACAGCTGTGGAGATTATACCGGTACCGGACAACTTGGGGAAAAAAATAAGGAGTGTGGAAAGAAGCCGACCTTTCCACGGAGTCAACGTCCTCTCCCAACACCAGCACACAACGACTACCCGTTCCCCAGGGAAGACGTCGGTGGAGCTGAAGCAGCTCAAGAGGAAGCTGGGGGTCTGTAAGAAGCTGCACAAACCCCGAACTCCTCCTCCGGATGCATCCAGTTCTTCGGCATCAGTGACGCGCACAGTCGTCAAGGAAACTCTGGGTCCTGGAGAAGAACCTTTCTCCAAGCAGCCTCGGCCAGCTGCCAGCTCAGGAGTAGATAGCAACACAAAGGTGTGTACAGAATATTGGGATGTACGGAATATTGAGATGTACCCTATGACACAATCAATGAAACCATTTTTGGGTACTCCGAGCAACGCCTGCCCCTCGTGCTCGAGGTCATCTGCAAAGGACGACGCCTCCAAGCACTCGTGGACAACGGAGCATCACACACCGTCTGCGACAAGGCAGTAATCGACCGACTTTGGGAAGAGTATAAGCCTTCAGGATTCTCTGCAACGATGGTGGACGGCAGCAAGTTACCAGTACACGGCGAAGCAGTGCTACACCTACAAATTGGACCACTGCGCTGGAGACCTGCACTCCCCATCACCAACATCAAAGGGCTTGACTTGATCTTCGGGCGAGACTTCCTAAAAAGATTCAACCCCAAGATCAACTGGGTGAACCGCACCGCAAGCATCTACAACAATGGACGGAGAGTACAGCTACCCAACTGGGACGATACAGGAGATATCCCAGTGGAGACACTCGCACGATTCGAGAAGGACGTGAAGCGAACTGACACCGGGTTCTTAGCAATAGCAACAGAGGCGGAGAACGACAGGGAGAGAACCTCGGAACCTCCAGGAAAGATCAAGGAATTATTGAAGGAGTTCCAAGACATTCTTCCGGACGATCTTCCGAACGAGCTACCGCCATACCGAACGCATCAACACGAGATCGTAGAGGAACCGGGTTCGAAGCCGACCTTTCAAGCACCATATCGGCTCAGCCCTACGGAGCTGACCGACATGAAAAAACAGATCGAGTATCTCCTAGCCAAAGGACTCATCCGACCATCCACTTCGCCGTACGGTGCCCCAGTACTCTTCACACCGAAACCGGACGGAAGCCTGCGCATGTGCATCGACTTCCGAGCTCTTAACAAGCAGACCATCAAGAATAAATATCCGATACCGCGAATCGATGACCTGCTTGACCAGCTTCGGGGAGCTACGGTATTTTCCAAACTGGATCTGCGGTCCGGATACTGGCAGATACGGATGGCGGAAACCTCTATCCACAAAACTGCTTTCCGAACTCGGTATGGATCGTACGAGTATTTGGTAATGCCATTCGGACTCACCAACGCACCGGCAACATTCCAAGCCGAAATGAACCACATTCTACGACCACTTTTGGACGAATGCGTGGTGGTGTACCTGGACGACATACTTATTAAAAACCCAAATTTGTGAAAAACATAATTGTTTCCGCCACTGTAGCCGTGGTGCAGCTGGAGGTTCTGGTGTCGGTGTGGAGCAGCAGTAGCAGACGCCGCCGGTGTCTGCCCTTTGCCTCCTCGGTCTTCCCTCTCCTCACCACCCGCCTGCCCCTCCCCCTCCTGACTATGACCCTCTGTTTCCTCTGCCAGACTCGCTTCCCCCCTTGTTCTCCTCCTGTGTCCCCTCCCGTGTCTTCTGACCCGACGCCTCCTCCCACTTCTGGTTGCGCCATCCCTCTTGTGCTCGTCCTGTCTCTCCTGTTCAGCGCTCTCACCTTATGTTGCTCCGTTCCCATGTGCCTCGTCCTTCCCTCCTCCTGTCGCGTCCTCCGTCGTCGCTTGTTGTCGCTCCGCCTCCCCTGTCTGACTTCCTTCGTGCAGCTAGTCCTCTCTTTCCTCGTGTCCTTGCCTCCCTCGTTACCGACATGTCCGTTCCTGTCTCCAGTCTTGACGCGCTTGTCGCTGCCGTCACTAAATTTGCCTCTACTCGCCGCCTTTACTACGCCACCGCCCTCGTCTCTAACCCTGCCCATCCTCCGTCCGTCGGGGGTGCTCATGCCCTTGGCAGTGACCTCCTGGAGGACTGGCAGTATGAGCTTGCTTTCCTGTTTGAGGCCGCTCCTCATCTTTTCTCCATGCTGCTAGTCCCTGAGGGTGACCCAGACGCCTTAGACATCTTGACCCCTCGCACCTACGCTGATGCGACCTCGGGACCCTAAGCCTCTCAGTGGATAGCTGCCATGGAGCAGGAGATGGCATCTTGGAGATCCACCGGCACCTACGTCGACGCAGTTCCCCCACCTAGGGTGAACGTAGTTGATGGCCGGTGGCTCTTCAAGGTGAAGCGCCCTCCTGGAGAGCCGCCAGTGTTCAAGGCGAGCTACGTTGCTAGAGGCTTCAGTCAGCGCGAGGGTGTTGAATTCTTCCAGACCTTCATCCTGACACCAAAGATGACTACTCTTCGAGCGCTGCTACACGTAGCAGCACAGCGTGACTACGAGCTGCACTCCCTCGACTTCTCTAGAGCGTTTCTAGCAAGTACATCGGGCATGGGGCTAATGCTAGGAGGACGCTGGCCCGTGGTCCTTACAGGGCACACAGACGCGTCGTGGACAGACGACGCTGAGACGTTCAGGTCCTCCCAGGGCTAATGCTTTAGCCTTGGTGCATGTGCCATCTCGTGGAAGTCCACCCACTCGTCATCTGCTGTCCAATCTAGCTGTGAGGCTGAGGTCTACGTTGGTGCCATGGTGGCATAGGAGCTCCGTTGGCTGACCTTCTTGCTCACAGACTTAGGTGAGCGGCCTAGCTCTGCCCCGGTCCTGTACGCTGACAACAGGGCCATGATCCTCCTGTGTCAGGAGACTCGACTGGAGGGCAGAGCGAAGCACATCCATCTGCGGTACTTCCTCCTGCGCGAGCTACAGCAGCGTCGCCAGGCTCGCGTAGTACAGTTGGCCTTCGGTGCAAATACAGCTTATATCTTTACAAAGGCGCTTGCGCCTAAAGATTATTAGTTGCACTGTGTACAGCTTGGTCTAGTTCTTGTTGCTTCTCCCTTGCTAGAACCCTAATTGTGTACTTCTACTTATATTATCTTGACTGGCCTTGTGGCTCTTGTTCCAGTGGCTGGGCAGTTGGTATCAGAGCTCCGTTCCTGCCCACTTAGTCTTCCGTAGAGTAGTCCTTATATATCGGGAGAGGACCCGACAGAATAGAGGGTTGGCCTGCGGTTGGTAAGTGAGCTCGTTAAAGCTCCTCCAACTAGAAGCGGCGTGTGCACCCTCAGATCTGTCAGGTAAAATTTCCAGCATTTCTATCACACCGGAAACCTCTGCCCGTCTTAGTGTTAGGAACGTGACTCTGGAGGAGTTTGACGAGTTGTAAGACATGGCGACAACAGTGACGACACTGCAAGCCCAGCTTCAACAACTTGCTAATAAGTCCGAGTCGCTGGGAAGCGAAGTGCAGACGCTGCACAACGAAAACTCGTCTCTTCGCCAGATGCTGGGTGAAACGCATCAGGGGCGGCCCGTTACCCGAGACGAAGGTTCTGCGAGCGAAGCGAGGGCGTCGGCGACACCTGAAGCAGTTGAAGAAGTCCATAGCAAGCCGCGGGCGGCCATTAAAATCAAACCTCCGATGCCACCGCCGTTCAACCCGACCGAAAGAACGACTACAGTTAGCGGTTGGCTGTTCGCCATGGAAATCTTCTTCACAGTAGCAAGTATTAATGACAGCGCATCACGTGTCAACTTGGCTGTGTCGCTGCTGAGGGGACCGACACTCGACTGGTGACACATGCATCTAGATGAGGGAGGAGCCCCGATAGGGAATCAACGGGTGGTAGATGAGGAGCACGGTTCATCAACGGCTCAAGCGGAACAGATCTTTGGGTCGGCCATGATCCGCACGTGGAAAGCGTGGGGCGAAGCATTGAAGAGCCAATTCGAGCACATATCCATGCGCGAAAACGCTCGCACAAGGCTTCGGATGTGGAGACAGTTGGGTTCAGTCCAAGAATACACGGCTTCGTTCTTGGCGCTATGCGATCGAATTGGAGGGCCTAGCAAAGACGAGAGAATCGAAAGCTACGTTGGTGGTCTCAAGCCAGAGATTCAGCAAGAGATCCTCCTGCGAGCCCCGGCAACATTCAACGAAATAGTCCGAATCGCGGATGCGCTAGACGCAAGGCATGAGTTGGCGACACCCGCATCAAAATATTTGTTGATGGTGGGGCAAGCCACAGTTTGATGGATGTGACAAGAGCGAAGAAACTCCGATTGCAGCCGGAACGCCGCATGCCCAAAATCACCCCACTGACAGCACCCCACTGGCGATTCGGGAACGCGTGCCTGACGTGCGAGTCACCTGTGACGAAAAATTCAGTTTCACGATGAAGATACTGGCGACAACTTTGGACGGGTGCGACATGCTGCTGGGACGCGATTGGCTGCGCGAATACAACCCGAGCATCGACTAACGAACGGGCGATTATCGCATAAAGTGGAATGGCGAGTGGTGACGGCTACCCAAGTGGAGCAGTCAAGACTCGACAACATCGACGGTCAGCACAGTGACTATAAAGCGCGCGATGATTCGGGGATCGCAACTGTATGCCGTCTGATGGATCGCATCAACGGCTATCGACACGCCGAGCAACATCGACAAACTCTGCGCAGCTGTCCCGGATGACTTGACAACCGTGATTCGGAAGCATGCCGACATTTTTCCCAACGACCTACCGGCAAGCTTGCCACCTCAGGGGCCGCATGACCACACAATCGAGCTCGAACCTGGCGCGCAGCCTACTGTTTGGACCTAATGGCGGCTGACTCAGCCCGAGTTAGAGCAACTTCAACGCCAGCTGGACTACCAGCTCCATAAAGGTTTCGTCCGCCCCAACACATCACCATTTGCAGCTCCGATCCTGTTCACCCCGAAGAAAGATGGCGGTCTGCGTATGTGTATCGACTACCGCGCCTTGAATCAGGTTACAATCAAGTCTCACTATCCAATACCACGTGCCGCCTCGCGGGGCCAGATTTTTCTCAAAGATTGACCTGCGAGGCGGTTACTACCAACATCGCGTGCACGGACCTGACTGCTACAAGACGGCGTTTCGGACCCGATACGGGAGTTACGAGTACACGCTCATGCCATTCGGCTTAACAAACGCGCCTTCGACATTCCAGTTGACAATGCACAAGATTTTTCGGCCGCTACTAGATAAGTGCGTCATCATGTACCTCGACGACATCCTCATCTACAGCACAACACGGGAGCAGCATTTAAAGGATTTGGAAGCAGTTTTCTCTCTCCTGCAGCAAAACTGACTCATCACCAAGGGCCTCAAGTGCGAGTTTTTTAAACATGAACTGGAGTTCTTGGGTCACGTGATTTCCATCGACGGTGTTAAAATCGACCCCAAGAAAATCGCGACAATCCAAGATTGGAAGCCGCCAGCTAATCTCCGCGAACTTCAAAGTTTTATGGGGTTTCATTTCGAACATGGCGGGGGTAACTTCCCCTCTCATGGATCTCTTGAAAAAGGGCACGTTTTTTTAGATGGGGGGAGAGCAGCAGGCTGCGTTCGACAAGCTCAAACTTTTCCTGACTACACCGCCGGTTCTTCGGATGGCAGATCCTCACCATCCATTTGAGCTCATCACCGACGCTAGTGATCTGGCCGTTGGCACAGTCCTCTTACAAGACTTCGGCGAAGGCCTACAACCGATCGCCTACGAGTCACGGAAGTTGAACACGGCCGAACGAAATTATCCTGTCTACGACAAGGAGTTACTCGCCATCATTCACGTTTTCAAAGTCTGGCGCTGCTACCTGACGAGCACTTCTGTAACAGTCCGAACAGACCACAAGTCACTACAGATCATCCGCGCCCAACCGACACTGAATCCCCGACAGATTCGCCAGCTCGACTACCTCGAGTCTAATTTCCACTACAGAGTCACCTACAAACGAGGGGTCAGCAACGTCGCCGACACACTGACCCACCCCTTGGTCCACACCGCCGAAGTCCTAATTACCCAAGTTAATCCGCTGCTAACTGGCCTATTCACCCACAGATACACTACGGACCCATTCTTTACCACTAACCGTCATCCCCAACAGACGGTCAAGCAAGGGGCCTATTATCTAAAATCCGATTCCATTCGGATTTGGGTTCCCACCTACCGTACCCTACGGGAGTTACTGATCCAGGAGGCACATGACTCGAATTTATTGGGTCACTACGGCATCGACAAACCCGCAAAATTAATAAGCCGTAACTATTACTGGCCTGACCCACCGACAGACGTGCAGCAGTACGTCACCTCCTGTGCCACGTGTCAATGCATGAAGTCTTCCCGACTTCGACCCGCTGGATTGCTGCAGCCGCTCGAGCCACCCAGCCGACCCTGGCAACAAGTGGCCTGCCAAATGGTTCAAGCGGTAATGACGCGATCCTCGTCGTCGTTGACCAGTTTACCAGAATGGCACATTTCGCCGCCTGCAAGACGACAATTCCTGCTGAGCAGACAGCAAAATAGTTCCTCACGAACATCGTGCAGCTACACGGCATCCCATCGGCAATCATCAGCAATCGCGACCCACGGTTCACGTCCAACTTCTGGACAAAAACCTGGCAGAAGTACGGCACACGTCTGCATTTGTCTACGGTGTACCACCCGCAATCGGCGGTCAGACTGAGCGCACAAACCAGACAATGGAGCAGCTGATTCGCACGACATGCACAGGCCCGACCCAATGGGAAGATGCCCTTCCCTAGATCGAGTTTGCGTACAACAATGCCCCATCGGCCACGACTACTCAGTCCCCGTCCTTCCTTAAATATGGGATAGATGCGACAACCCCTCTATCACCACCGATAGAAAATCCAGCACCAAGGTCTCAGCATTTCGTCGAAAATCTCTGCCTTACTCAGCAAAAAGCTGCCGATGCCATCCTAAAAGCCAACCACAGGGCTAAGCAGCAAGCTGACCGACGACGCCGAGACTTAGCACTTGTACCTGGGCAATTGGTCCTGCTCGACACCAGGAATTTGGGAATCCCCCTCCCCAATAAATCACGACCAAGATTTTGCGGACCCTTCCGCATCATCCGCATGGTGACACCAGTCACCACCCAGCTGCAACTGCCGACTGACTGGCGAATTCATGATTCGTGCCACGTCACTCTCCAGCGACCGTTCGTCCCGAGTGCGACCAATCTCGACCGTCAACACATTAATTCTACGGTCAACCCAGTACCCGAGCCAACGACCGAGCCGTCCAAGATTCTCGCTCATCGCGTACAGGGACATCAAGATATAGCAGCCGTCGATTTCCTTGTACGATGGGTCAATCGCACAAGTGACGACGACCTCTGGGTTCTCGCAGCCACGCTCGGTGACAACAGAGTTGTCCGGGACTATTTACACCGACGACGTGTCCTGGATGTGTGTAGTCTCATCCCGGAAGGGGGGGTGGTGTAAGGAAATTCCTTTCCTTACTCGGCTCGACTACAGCGTGTACGCCCTCGACTCTCAGAAGTCCAGGCTCGGTCAACTTCTTCGGTCCCGAACCACTTCGCGAACCCAAACCTAGACGCGCAGTGCTTCCGTAGCTTTCGCCAACCGGACCACCCCAACCTGTTCGCGTGGTTCTCGGCCAGCTCTGTTCGTGCCTATAAATGCCTAGACCCTCATTTGTATCGACACTCTTGAATCACGACTCCTTTATTACACTACCTGTTATTACTCTGATTGATTCATAACACGTACTCTTAGAGAGTACAACCCCTTAGCACAAAACCACCATGTATCTGTCTTTCTAGCCAGGCCTTATTTTATCAGAGTAAATCACTCTGTTTCTCTGAAAATCAGAGTCGTTTGTGAAAACCACTCTGATGGTTCTGGGAAAAAAAATGAAAGTATATGTTTTCTCTTATTTATCAGCGTTGGTCAATGTACCACCCGGAGGGATTTTCAATAGGGGGTATACTCCCTTATTTTTTCCTGTACTCCCTGTATTCGGTGAAGTCCTCCGGCTGCCAGTCACACCCCTCCCATACCCCACGCAACCTTGATGATTTTGGCGAAGTCCTCGGCAACAAGTCACACCCCCCTCATACCCCCCCGAAGCTGGAATTTTTTTGTCAAGTCTTCTGCAACCAATCACAACCCTCATAATCCCCCCAACCCTGGCATATTCTTTCTCTCCCACACCCAACCCAACTTAACCCAGCTATGATCAGTGCTGTTTGACTGGCCCTTCCGTTAGTCACGCTAGTTTCAATGCATGTAACTTGGCGCTGTGCTGATTTGTAAACACCTTATCTGTCGCCACACAGCGAAGGTGATTGGTACAGCACATGCGCCAGCCAATCACTGGCGTGTTAATGTATTTCTGCAAACTTTGCTCCCACACGAATCCCAGCGACATCAGCCAATCTGACAGCTCAGCCAGGTTTGGCAGTTTCTGTTTCTGTTTCTGTACTTCGGAGCAAAGCAGAGCCTGCAATGATTTCTTTGGGAGAACCCGACTCGACGGATCCTAGACCAAAAAATTGCCAGCAAACCCCGACACTTCGCGCACCTCGCCACGGGAAGAATGGGATTGTAAGTGTCTTGGGATGTTACCGCTTTGGCATACGCGGATTGCGACGGGGGGCTGAATTTGTACTTTTCAAAATACCCGGGTGTTGAATTTGTACTTTCTGAATTTGTTGTTTTCGAAATACCCGGCGGACGAAATATGACATCCTGTCATGGCTAGCAAGTTCCATTGTTGCCGCTGTCTTCTCTGGGAACAATGCGGGCCATGTTCTAGAAACGTGGGTGCGATTGCCCGTGCTAGAAACAGAAGTGATGCGGGAAGCTTTTGTAAGTGAACCGAGACGTGACTGACTCGGGCAACAAGGGTACACATGACGTCCAGTGAACCACCCATTCGTCAAAGGCCCTCATGCACTCGTCGGGCCGACTGGCACGGATTTACAGGCAACGGCCCGTCCTGGACTGGCCCAATTTTGGGCGGCTCAACCACTTGCGACACTGCTGGGAGTGAACATGCGGAAGGACCAATTGTAGGTTGACTCGGAACCAGGGTGCGATTGTGCGACAGTTACCGGGGTACACGGGAGAAACAACGAATGTCTTCCATGTTCCAAGGGTCCTGCCAAACGGGTAACCATGGTCCTACCTTCAGGCCCAATTTGCCAGCAATTTGAAGGCGTCCGTTACTGGAGTAACCGGCCAAAAAAAACCTGGGCCTCTTTCAGACCTCTAGTGTATAGGGTAGTCTGGTTAAGGCCTCTCGATATCCTAGGGGTCACCCTGCAGTTTCCGAGATTGCCCCGGATCCAACTCGTCCAGGCTGGATAGCCCTAAAAAGTTTGACGGTTTTTGCAGTCAAGAGTTTCGTCAAGCTCGGAAAAGCCACTCCTGACAATGACAGGGGGAGATTTTTTTACTAGGGGCGCGAACGTTTACATTAGATTTTACAGGGCGGGTCTATCACGTACTCGAAAATTGGCAGTGGGATAATTTTGGCTTTCTTGTCCATGGATGGGTATCGATATTTTGAATGCGTCAAAAGCAGGGCGAGGTTAAAATTTCACCCTGTTTTCCTTGACAAAGCAGTGTAATTACCCTGACTTCCAAAGGCCTGGTCTGGTTACCTAATTGGCAATTTTCAGTCTACAGAGGGTGACCATTGTTGTTTCTTTTGCGTTCCTCGGGCAGCAGTGTGAGGCCTCAGAACGCCCTGTCTGCACGTTTGGAGGTCTCAGTATCAGATGTGGTAACTGTTGGAGATCAGTGGGCCCCTGTGGATTGGGCCGTTGCCCATGTGTTCGAACCAATAGACCTGTAGATGGACACGTGGACTAAAGATGTACCAGTCAAGATAGCCGACACCAACTAGGTTCTTGGACTAAAGATGTACTAGTCAAGTGGAGCGCGCAGGGCCCTGAACCACTCTAAAGGCGCGCCAAGCTCTCAAACGCTCTAGAAGTTGGACTGTAATTGAAGCTTGACAAGCGGCCAGAAACGCGCCCTAATGCTAATGTGGAACCCTTCCAAGATAAGGCAGAATAGTGGGAAATAACATGGGGGCATAAATCCTGAATATCAGAATATTTATGTGAAAGTGTGAAAAAAACTCAGACAAACCAGAGTTCAACCTCCAGGGCAATCTGAAAACCAGAGTTAGGCCAGGAGTCACTCGTGAAAATCATAGTGGTGAAAAACCAAAGATTAGCTTTGATTCTGGCTAATTCGTTACTCTGAGACTAGGATCCTCGACGAGCTCGACTAATTGAGTTTCTGGTATCGTGGAAGGATCGGACGCCCTTGGAAAACAATTGGGTGCCCTTGGGACAGATCGAGAATTACCCGGTTTTACGAGTCTACCGGTACCTCCAGTCACGCAATGCGCGCGACGTCAGCGGTCTTACGGATAGTAAGGTGTACACTGCTATATCCAGTTCTGCCACGAAATTCAAATCGTGACACCCAGATGTGGTCTCCTGACGAGCCGACCGGATGCATTTTGTCTGCCTTGTTGTTTTATGCCTAAATTTGGGCGCTTCGCGCCAATTTACAAACCACATGTCTCAATTCTGCGGAGCCTCGACCGTGTGCTCTAGGCCTAGCTATATCCAGGCTCCATGTTGCTTTGATGTTGCCTCGTTGTATTGTTTCCTCGCTATAAGATTATTCTACACATGCTCTGTGATCTTCATAACACAGTTTCAAGCTCGCTGTAAGCCAAAGTCTACTATCGAGGTTCTCCTGCCTAACCAACTTGGCCTATTTGCCCAGGCGATTTTAGCGAGGCTTGCTGCGTAGGCGACAAGAACGAATTTCGCAAGTGCGACGCTTTAGCCCCCTCATACCTGCTTTACGACCGTTGACGACAAGATTTCTTGTTACTTCGCCCAGGTGAAGCGCCATTCACGGACACGGATTTGTCAAGCACCAGCGTCCGTCCAGCCTCGGTTTTGGAACGCGTCACATGGACCCGCAGCGCGAGCGCAAATAATTGTGCATTTGTTCAGACCTCCACCTGCTGCTTCTGCTGCTGCCGCTGCTGCTGCTTCACCTTCACCTTGGGAATTACGGACCTTGGTTGCTGCTGGCTATGAAGAAACGAGGGATCTCTATTTTAGCAGATTCCCTCATCGAAGCATTTTTCCCTTTTGTCGCACGGCTTGCCTCCTCCGCCTCGTACCAGTCTTCGCCCTATTGAGGTTGTACATTTGCGTTCGAGGGTTTTGTAGCTAGTCCTTGGAGGGTCTACATCCCAAACGCTCCTCAAGCAGCCATCACATTAATTTTAGTGCATCTTTATCGTTATCGTACTATTCAAGTCTACAATCAGTGTCTCATTTGTTAAATACAGATAACGACTGAGAATTCACAATAGTGTCCACATAAGAGCCCGAGCTTTACTTTTCAAAAAGCTAGGTGATTTATCGCGATCTGAAGCCAGCCGAGAAACGGATTGGCTAGAGCAAATTACCAGCTGCAGAAAACTCCTCCTAGGCCTCAAAACCAGCGGTCCGAAACTGAACGACCAGCCCGGAACAGACGAGTCGTCTGGAAGCCTGTCGTGTCCCGTTCAATCACGGGCTAAGTGTCGCTGGGTGCTGTCGGGTCGCTGGGTGTGGTCGGGTCGCAGGGTGCGGTCGGGTCGCGGGTTGCGGACGTGTCGACGGGTGCGGTCATGGCAAGGCCTGCGGTCGTGACATCACCGGAGGATGCGGAGGGATATTCAGCGCCGAGAGTGATTGTGCCAGAGGTGCGAATACATCTCTGAAGCGCCTCCGAATTCAGCGCCGAAAGTGATTGTACCAGACGTGATAGCAACACGTGCTGACCAAACGTTTGGCGATGGAGCGCAAGCGGGAACAGTAGCTTTCTCAGAGAGTGCAGGGTGCAGAGCATTGCCGACTGCCCGAGTGAGTGAGTGAGTGAATGAAAGCAGAGCGAGCGCGCGAGCGAGCTAGGGTGGGTACGCGCGAGCGAGTGAGTGAATGAGCATTTCGGGTACTCATTCCTCTCTGTCCATCCCATCCCCTCCCCTCCCATCCCCTCCCATCCCATCCCATCCCATCCCATCCCATCCCCTCCCATCCCATCCCATCCCATCCCATCCCATCCCCTCATCCCATCCCATCATCCCGCCGTTGCCATCGCAGGGCAAGGGCTGGCGACAATGCTGGTCGTACGTAGGTCCGGGCTTTCTTGTCGCCATCGCTTATATTGACCCCGCTAACTGTAAGACCCTACTCGCTATTGCCACATAGTGAATATTTTTCCAGCATTTCAACTCGTAATTATCCAGCATATTTCGAGTCGACTCAAGTTGTATTTTGAGTCGACTCAAATTTCAACTCGTAATCATCCAGCATAATTTTGAGTCGACTCAAGTTGTATTTTGAGTCGACTCAAATTTCAACTCGTAATTATCCAGCACATACTCGTAAAAGTCATCTCGACGTCTCCGTCCCCTCTTTCCTGATATGCCATAGTACGGTCATCTGTGTTTCTGTGTTTCTGTGTTGTTGACTTACCATGAATCTTTCTTGTACTGCTGACCGTCCTGACTCGAATCAAGTCTAGGCGACTATCGCGGAACCACTCCAACATCAAGCCCATCCCGCGCTGCCCTGCTGAATTATTTTCCGATATTGGCTGCTCCTTGTGTCAGTTGAGAGCGATTTGAAGGCGGGAGCAGCATACAAATACACGGTGAGGGTGACGCGCATTTTTACCTGCATTTAAAATAAACAGGCTGCTCAGTGCCACGCCCTCTCCCCCACTCTCTCCATGCCACTTTTCTCTTCGCTGCTTCCCGCTCCCTCCGCTCCCCACACCGGCAAAGAGACCAACCCCTTCCCCCCCCCCCTTCTTCCTTTCCCCCCTCCCATTCCGTCCTCTCACCTCTCTCCCGAACAGCTCCTCTGGGCGCTGCTGCTGGCCTCGTTAGCGGGCCTCTTCATTCAATCACTCTCAGCCAACCTCGGTATTGTCACGGGTAAGGTGCCACCGCCACTTCTCCCCAGTAGATTTTTGGACGACTCAAGTGTGCAATGAGCATTTTCGGACGAGCTCATTGTGACAGATAAACCACCTGCTCGGCTCTGCTCCCCTTGCTTCTCTCTCCCCTCCTCCTATGTCCCTCCGCCCCTGCCCCCACTGTCCAGGCAAGCATCTGGCCCAGCATTGTCGCTTGGAGTACCCGTGGGCGCTGAATTTCGTGCTGTGGCTCATTGCAGAGCTCAACATCATCGCCAGCGACATTCCGCAAGGTGACTATACCGAGTGAGGTGACTATACCGAGTGAGAGGTGACTATACCGAGTGAGAGGTGTTGGTGGGGCACTGGGATCGTCCTAGTTGAGTGTGGGAGGGCTACAGGTCCGTCCTGGGGGGTAATGGGTGCGCTACCCACCACAAAAAACATGCCCTTTTAACCCAGTCGGTAGCGGGCTGGGCCAACAGTGGTATCAGAGCCTGGAAGGTCCAGGGTTCGAATCCCAGTGTGCGCAGAGGAGGCGCCGGGTGCCCTGACGACCCCAGTGAGGGGGAGATTGTTGGTGGGGCACTGGGATCGTCCTAGTTGAGTGTGGGAGGGCTACAGGTCCGTCCTGGGGGGTAATGGGTGCGCTACCCACCACAAAAAAAACATGCCCTTTTAACCCAGTTGGTAGCGGGCTGGGCCAACAGTGGTATCAGAGCCTGGAAGGTCCAGGGTTCGAATCCCAGTGTGCGCAGAGGAGGCGCCAGGTGCCCTGACGACCCCAGTGAGGGGGAGATTGTTGGTGGGGCACTGGGATCGTCCTAGTTGAGTGTGGGAGGGCTACAGGTCCGTCCTGGGGGGTAATGGGTGCGCTACCCACCACAAAAAAAACATGCCCTTTTAACCCAGTTGGTAGCGGGCTGGGCCAACAAGAGGTGACTATACCGAGTGAGAGGTGACTATACCGAGTGAGAGGTATACCGAGTGAGAGGTGACTATACCGAGTGAGAGATAAGTGTACCAGGGAGCACGCTGTGCTCGCCTGGAGTACCCGTCGCCCCTGAATTTCGTGCTGTGGGTCATCGCACAACTCAACTTCAACATCGTCGCCAGAGACATTCCACAGCATAAGAATTTCAGAATCACAAGTAAATGCGCACCTTGGCACCTTGTTGTGCGAGCGTTGCCCTTGTGTTTCCCAGTCCGCCTTCCCTCTCCCTTCCCCAAGATTCAAACATATTCCTCCCCACGTTTCTCAGCTCCTGCCTCTGTCTCCTTGCTATCCTTCCCCTCCCCCCAGTGGTCGGCACCGCCTTTGCTCTCAACCTCCTCTTTCACATTCCCCTATGGGCGGGTGTGCTTATAACGGGATGCAGCACCCTGCTGCTCCTGGCACTGGAGAGGTTCGGGGTGAGTAGTAGCAAATAAACCAAGAAATCTGTTCGTTTTATTAGGGAGTCTATGGTAAGTTCAGAGTCTGTTCGTATTTCTCGGTGCGTCATGTGTTGTTGAAATGTTTCTCCCCTGCCATATTACCCCTTATAAGACTTCGACTGTCTTTGAGGCGCCTCAAAAATAGACTCCTCACGCCTGCCAGAGTACCCCTGATAAGACTTCGACTGTCAACCCCCCTCACTGCAGGCGCGTCCCTTAGAAGCTCTGATGGCGCTGCTGGTGCTGCTTATAGCGGGGTGCTTTGTAGCGGAGATGGTTAAGGCGCTACAGCCGTCGGATGTGGGGGAGCTCTTCAAGGGCATGGTGGTGCCTCAGGTAAGAAATTGGGTGCCCCAGGTGAGAAATCAGGTGGTTCAGGAGCCATCGAATGTGGAGGAGCTGTTTAAGGGCATGTTGGCGTCCCGGGTAAGCTCAGGCGGAACGAGGAGAGTTCAGGTGGTGCTGGTGCAGGGGCAGGTGAAATCTGGTGATTCAGATGGTGGGCAATCGCAATCACCAGATGCTGGGCAATCGCAATCACCAGCAAGCCAGACACGACGCACCCTAGCCACCTCGAGAATTGCATGGGCACACACAAGGGGCTAAGGGGCCATGACCACGCCACCACGCCACCAGGCCTCCAGGCTGGGACGAGGCCTTTTCATCACAACCGTTAGATAGACCAGAGAGACCCTGAACCATGAATGCGTGTGTCCCTGAACCCCCCCCCCCTCCCCCCCTTACCCTCCTCCTCCCCCCCCCCTAATCAGTTGAAAGACCTGGGAGCATTGGCTGTCGCCATATCCATCCTCGGGGCAACCGTCATGCCGTGAGTCAGCATGAGCCAGCATGAGTCAGCATGAGCCAGCATGAGTCAGCATGAGTCATGCCAAGTGAGGCTTGAGTCAGCGACAGGGTTGGCAATAGTTCGCACCCTGAGTGTGGGTGCAGTGCCACGCAGCACCATACTTAACGACCTCTGCCTATGTCGTCACAGATGAGTGTACCTTGTCGTTGCGGCTACCTCTGCTCCCAACCCCTTCCTCCCCCCCTTCCCCTCCCAGCCCACTCCCCACCCACAACCCCCTCCCCACCAAACCCTCCCACCGCCCCATCTGCCACTTCCCATGCATCCCTGAAACAATGGTTCTTTTTCCCATCCGCCCTGTTTCCCCCTGTTCCCCATCCGCCCCTTTCTGTCACAATCCGAACACGCCAGGCACAACCACTTCCTTCACTCGGCCATTGTTCCCCACCCCACCCCTCCTAACACTAACCAGGCACAATCTCTTTCCCCGTTGTTCCCCATCCACTACCCTCATGCCATGCCACTGACCCTGTACGCACACGCCAGGCACAACCTCTTCCCCCCCTCTGTTCCCCCCTCTGTTCCCCCCTCTGTTCCCCCCCTCTGTTCCCCCCCTCTGTTCCCCCCCTCTGTTCCCCCCCTCTGTTCCCCCCCTCTGTTCCCCCCCTCTGTTCCCCCCCTCTGTTCCCCCCTCTGTTCCCCCCCTCTGTTCCCCCCTCTGTTCCCCCCTCTGTTCCCCCCCTCTGTTCCCCCCCTCTGTTCCCCCCCCTCTGTTCCCCCCCTCTGTTCCCCCCCTCTGTTCCCCGTCCGCCCCTTTCTGTCACAATCCCAATACGCCAGGCACAACCTCTTCCTTCACTCGGCCCTTGTTCTGAGCCGCAAGCACGCAGGCACCACTCGAGCTATCAGGGTAAATGCATATTTTATCAGGGTTAACCACCCATGCTCCTAGTGTAACCGAACTACCAGGGTAATTCACTCACGCAATCAGCGTAAACCACGTCCAAAGTCATGCCACAACCGTTGCGTCCACAAATGAAGTCCAAACAAACGAAGCGAACAAAGTCTCATGAACCCATCTTTAGATGGCAGCACCGCACCCACACCACACACCCTCTCTCTCTCTCTCCCACTCCCCCTCCCTCCTTGCATATCTCTTAGTTCTTCCTGCTTCCACTGTCTTCTCGCACCCTTCTCTCCAGTGGAGGGAATCCCACCCACTACTACTCCCTCTTAAAGCTCGCCCTCTCACTGTTCATCAGGCGGCTTTAAGTCTAGCTTTTTCAAAAACCCCTTTCAATGCCCCTCTGCCCTCCCCCTTTTCTCTCTCCCTCTCAGACCGCCACCCACTACTCCCTCTTGGAGCTCGCCCTGACACTGTTCATCAGCGTCATCATTCAACGTGGCATTTTTGCTGTAGCTCCTCTCAAGGCCCCTCTTCTTTCTCCCCCTCCCATCCGCTTGCTTCAGACCGCCACCCACTACTCCCTCTTGGAGCTCGCCCTCGCACTGTTCATCAGTGTCATCATCAACGTGGCAATCATTGCTGTGGCCGGCACCGTCTGCAACAGTGCCAGTCTGCCGCCCGGCGCGGCTGAGGCGTGCGCCAACATCAGCATCAGCAACGCTTATGTTCTTCTGAAGGTGAGTCAAGAGGGGATGGGGGGTGTCAAGAGGGGATGGGGGGTGTCAAGAGGGGATGGGGGGTGTCAAGAGGGGATGGGGGGTGTCAAGAGGGGATGGGGGGTGTCAAGAGGGGATGGGGGGTGTACAGGGGGAGGGGGGAGGGAAAGGGGGAGGGGGGAGGGAAAGGGGGAGGGGGGAGGGAAAGGGGGAGGGGGGAGGGAAAGGGGAGGGGGGAGGGAAAGGGGAGGGGGAGGGAAAGGGGGAGGGGGAGGGAAAGGGGGAGGGGGGAGGGAAAGGGGGAGGGGGGAGGGAAAGGGGGAGGGGGGAGGGAAAGGGGGAGGGGGAGGGAAAGGGGGAGGGGGGAGGGAAAGGGGGGGGGGAGGGAAAGGGGGAGGGGGGAGGGAAAGGGGGAGGGGGGAGGGAAAGGGGGAGGGGAGTGTAAAGGGGGAGGGGGGGGGGGGGGAACGGGCTTGGTTGGGGGGGAGTGGAGGAGGGCTGGGCTGGATTCTTCTCGTTCCTCTCCCCGTTTGTCTCCTTAACATCTCACTCCCTCTCACACCTGCAGGATGTGTTAGGTGGCTGGGCGGGGACCCTGTTCGGAGTGGCGCTGCTGGCATCAGGCCAAAGCAGCACGGTCACTGGGACGTACGCTGGGCAATACGTGATGCAGGTGAGGATATCCCTTGCAGTAAGCGCTTGGTGATGGGGTCACTTGCACGTTGGAAAATACTTGACAAGAGCAATACTGGTCGTGGGTAACTTCTATCTAACATGTCTCCAAGCGGCGTCTCCCTGAAGTGGCGTCCCCCTTAAGTGGCGTCTCCATTAAGTGGCGTCTCCCTTAAGTGGGGTCTCCCTTAAGAGGCGTCTCCCTTAAGTGGCGTCTCCCTTAAGTGGCGTATCCCTTAAGTGGCGTCCCCCTTCAGTGGCGTCTCCCTTAAGTGGCGTCTCCCTTAAGTGGCGTCCCCATTAAGTGGCGTCCCCCTTAAGTGGCGTCTCCCTTAAGTGGCGTCTCCCTTAAGTGGCGTCTCCCTTAAGAGGCGTCTCCCCTAAGTGGCGTCTCCCTTAAGTGGCGTATCCCTTAAGTGGCGTCCCCCTTAAGTGGCGTCTCCCTTAAGTGGCGTCCCCCTTAAGTGGCGTCTCCCTTAAGTGGCGTCTCCCTTAAGTGGCGTCCCCCTTAAGTGGCGTCTTCCTTAAGTGGCGTCCCCCTTAAGTGGCGTCTCCCTTAAGTGGCGTCTCCCTTAAGTGGCGTCCCCCTTAAGTGGCGTCTCCCTTAAGAGGCGTCTCCCAGCTGCTCCCTTACGCGTTCCTCCGATTCTCCTCTCTCCGTCACATCCTCTCTTTCCCCTTCCTTCAATGCCTCTCCCATCTGTCCTCGCTACAGGGGTTCCTGGAGCTCCGTATAAGCACGTGGCTTCGCAACTTCATCACTCGCCTGGTTGCCATCGTGCCAGCTCTGCTGGTGGCTCTTCTCTTCGGGGCCAAGGGCGCAAGCCTCCTCATCATCCTCTGCTCGGTAAGAGCACACTGTGACCTGCTTATAAGGGGTACAGCACAGGTTTTCTCATTCTCCTGCGCTCAGTAAGGGAGGAACATCAGTTGCTGATGATGCATCACTGCTGGTGGCTCATCAGTCCTCGCCTGGTTGCGATCATGCCGGCTCTGCTGGTGGCTCTACTCTTCGGGGCCGAGGGCGCAAGTTTCCAAATTATCCTGTGCTCGGTAAGAGCACGAGATGCACTGCTTATAAGGGGTATGCGCAAGCTTGCTCATTATCCCGTGCCTGGTAACACCAGGGGTGCGCACAAGCGTTGCTCATTATCCCGTGCCTCTCCTCAAGTTCACTTCTCCTCAACTTCACCAGGACTTCTCTCAGAGGGGCTCCTCGGAACAAGCGCATCGCCTCTCCCTTCTGTCTCCCCTTCCCACATCATTCTCTCCTTCGGTCTTCCCTTGGCCCTCATTCCCCTTCGCCCTCATTCCCCTTCGCCCTCATTCCCCTTCGCCCACTTCATCTCCACTACTCTAAAGAAGGGCTCCTTAAAACACGCACATTGCCTCTCCCTTCTGACTCCCCTTCCCAGATTACTCTATCATTCGGTCTGCCATTCGCTCTCATCCCTCTCCTCAAGTTCACCAGCACTACTCTGAAAATGGGCATGTTCGCTACACATACTTGGGTAAGTTGCTTGCGTCATCATCATCGTCATCGTCATCATTCTCATCACCATTGTCATCATTCTCATCACCATTGTCATCATTCTCATCACCATTGTCATCATGCTCATCATCATTGTCATCATTCTCATCACCATTGTCATCATGCTCATCATCATTGTCATCATTCTCATCACCATTGTCATCATTCTCATCACCATTGTCATCATGCTCATCATCATTGTCATCATTCTCATCACCATTGTCATCATGCTCATCATCATTGTCATCATTCTCATCACCATCGTCATCATTCTCATCACCATTGTCATCATGCTCATCACCATTGTCATCATGCTCATCATCATTGTCATCATGCTCATCATCATTGTCATCATTCTCATCACCATTGTCATCATGCTCATCATCATTGTCATCATTCTCATCATCATTCTCATCATCGTTCTCATCACCATTGTCATCATTCTCATCACCATTGTCATCATTCTCCTCACCACCATTCGAATCATTGGGACATGCCGTGCTCGCAGGCGGCATAGAGATGCTAGGCTCTTGAGTCGACTCCTTGAGATGCCAGGCTCCATTTACTTTCCGGTCCAGCCTGCCACCCCGTTTTTCCTCGCCTTCTTTCTGTCGTTCCCTCTTGCTCTTCTACTCTTTTCTCTCCCACTTTCTACCTTTTTTCTCCCCTCTTTCCGTATCCGTTCTGCCATCCGATTCCCCTTCAAATCCCCTTCCTCTTCAACTTCCCATTCCCCTTCCAATCCCTCTTCCAATCCCCCTTCCAGACTACAGTTGCTGCCTCTGTCCTTGGCGCTTGCATCACCCTAGCCAACTCCGCTCTCATCATCTGGACCTGTATCAATCTCCTCTACCTCAACCCCTCCTCCCTCTCCTCCCCTCCCTCTGCCAACTTCAACCTCCTCCGAATCCTCTTCACCGTTATAATCTCCCTCCTCCTCCTCCTCTACCTCCTCACCCTCACCCTCCTCGCCCTCCGCCCTATTTCCACCGCCACTTACCAACCCACTAAGGACGAGCTCTCTAAAGCTGCTGTAGTGGCTAAAGCCCATGACTTAGCAATAGATACTTATGAAAATGGGAGTTCAGGAGGCGGTAAAGGAGGGGAGAGAGGGGAGAGAGGGGACTTAGAGTCTGGGTTTGGAGCGTATGGAGTATGTGGGAAGGGATCTGAGGAAGGAGCTAAGGCGGCAGAAGAATCAGCAGAGGCAGCGGCGGCGGCGGCAGAAGCAGCAGCAGAGGCGGCAGAGGCAGCAGCAGCGGCAGCAGCTGCCTCTGCTCTGGCCCGGTCCAAGATGCCGCAGTCAGCTGCTGCTGCTGCTGCTGCTGCTGCTGCTGCTGGTTCTGATGTTACTGGTGCTGCTGCAGGTGCTTCGTTCTCTGACTCTCCACCTGCCAATGTTGCAGTGAGTGCAACAAGTGAGGCAAGCCTACAGCACTGGCTGGCGGAATCAGGAAGACGGTCTTAGCTAAAGGGGTTCGTTCAGATGACTTTGGATGCACCTCCCGGTCAAAAGACTTGCCATGAGTTGACTCAGAAGTACGCTCCTGCGCCCCTGCCACCATTCCCGCAACTGAAGCGGAGGGTGCAAGAAGTGAGGCCAGCCTACACGACTGGATGGCGGAATCGGGAAGACGGTCTTAGGTCAGGGGATTCTGAACACGCGTGAGGGCACAGGAAGGCACTTCTCAATTCTTCTGAGGAAGGAGTCTGTATATAGGGGAGATGGGAGGTGAGGTGAGGTGAGGTGAGGGGAGATGGGAGGCGAGGTGAGTGCGTAAGAGGGATGCTGCGGAGGGAAGGGAGAGTCCAAACGTGAGCTCGGGTGGTCTAGAACTCTCTGCATGGACAAGTCACAAAATGCACCTCTAGATCGAGTGAGCGCACGGACTGTGGAGATAAGGGGTGCAGCTGCTTGCTGCCAGAGGGGTGCTGTGGAGGGAGGGGAGGGTCCAGACGTGGGTCAGAGGTAGTCATAGTCTAGAAGCATGACACGCTCTTTCGCTGTGTTGTGTTGTGCCATAGTCTAGAAGCATCACACGCTCTTTTTCTGTGTTGTGTTGAATGCTCACACGCTCTTTCGCTGTGTTGTGTTGAGTGCTCACACGCTCTTTCGCTGTGTTGTGTTGAATGCTCACACGCTCTTTCGCTGCCATAGTCTAGAATGCTCTGGAGTCACAGAGTGAGCTGCAGGTAGTCAGAAGTCACTCTCAGAAAGAGTGAGCATGGGGAATGTGGAGGTTAAGGGGTGTAGAGCAGCTGCTTGCTGCACGTAGCATCACACGTTCTTTTGCCCTGTGGACATTGTGTTTACTCAATGCGCTATACGTGCATGCCGTACACCGCGGAAGCCATAAATACACTGAATGGAAGCATGATCTTAGTTTGTATAAATATCAAGGGAAAAACTAGGAGAAATAAGTGCACAAGATGTATAAAATCCAGGTGCGGAACTTGAGACCTCAGAGATTGGCGCAGCAGACTGGAGATTCAGGGGGTGAAGATATCATGAGATATCAGATGTGCTTCTGTTCTGCAGCAGCACCCTCACTTCCAGCACATACGGTGCGCGACGCCCACGGCACGGAGTGGCGTGCACATGAGAGGGGCGCCAGCCAAGGGCAGCGGGGAGGAGTTGCTTCCTCAAGCGGGTGGTGGGAGGTGTGTCTGCAGCCATGCTCTGAGAACAGCCATCTCCTGGGGGCACATGGCGTGGCCCAACCTGTCAGGCGAACAGGGAGACACGTCACACGGGGTAAGGAACGGGTATTGAGGCGCCTCAAAACGAGTTGTGCCTGCAGCCACGCCTTGAGATCAGCCATCTCCCACGGACACATGGCGTGGCCCAACCTGTCAGGCGAACAGGGGTGACTTTTGGGTGAATCAAAGCGGGCGGTGGGAGGTACTTCTGCAGCCACGCCTTAAGATCTGCCATTTCCAGGTGACACACGGCATGGCCCAACCTGTCAGGCGAACAGGGAGAAACGGGAAAGAAATCGAGCGGCTTTTGTACCAGACATGAGAGTGTTAAAGTGATAGTACAAATGTCTTCAACTGAGATGTTCTAGCACTAACCAGTAGGTAATGCCCCCTTGACGAAGGAATGGACTTGGAATAGAACATGGTACATGGAATAGAACATGGTACATGGAATAGAACATGGTACATGGAATAGAACATGGTACATGGAATAGAACACGGTACATGGAATAGAATGTGGTACATGGAATAGAATGTGGTACATGGAATAGAACATGGTACATGGAATAGAACATGGTACATGGAATAGAACATGGTACATGGAATATAACATGGTACATGGAATAGAACATGGTACATGGAATAGAATGTGGTACATGGAATAGAACATGGTACATGGAATAGAACATGGTACATGGAATAGAACATGGTACATGGAATAGAATGTGGTACATGGAATAGAACATGGTACATGGAATAGAACATGGTACATGGAATAGGACATGGTACATGGAATAGAACATGGTACATGGTACATGGAATAGAACACGGTACATGGAATAGAACATGGTACATGGAATAGGACATGGTACATGGAATAGAACATGGTACATGGAATAGAACATGGTACATGGAATAGAACATGGTACATGGAATAGAACATGGTACATGGAATCGAACATGGTACATGGAATAGAACATGGTACATGGAATAGAACATGGTACATGGATGGAATAGAACATGATACATGAAATAGAACATGGTACATGGAATAGAACATGGTACTGGTATTATTTTCCCATCAAGGCAAACGTACTCGGGATAAGAGTGGAACGTCAGATTGGAGAAACCCGCTTCTTGCAACTCCCTCACACCGTCCCTTCCCCAGTCGTAGCCCACCAACACATCAACTGCACAGTCCGTGTGTGTGTTTGGGGGGGGGAAGAGGGGGGAGGGAAACGAGAAGCACTTTCGCACAGTCCCTTCCCCAGTCGTAGCCCACCAACACGTCAACTGCACAGGTTGCGTGCGTGCGTGGGTGTATGGGGGTCAGGGTGGGGTCGGGGGGTGGGGATGGGGGGTGGGGATGGGGGGTGGGGATGGGGGTAGGAGGGAAGAGTACCACCCGCCCCACACAGTACCTTCCCCATGAGTCATGAGCAGCGGGTGGTTCGCTGCTCTCTCTGCCACTGGTGCCTTCGCCCCGGCAGCACTGCCTCCCGGGGCTGGCGTCAGACTGTGGAGGAGAGTGGTGGGGAATGGTGGAGAGTGGTGGGGAATGGTGGGGAATGGTGGGGAATGGTGGAGAGTGGTGGGGAATGGTGGGGAATGGTGGGGAATGGTGGGGAATGGTGGGGAGTGGAGGGGAGTGGAGGGGAGTGGAGGGGAGTGGAGGGGCGACAGATCATAGCAGCACAGCATGGCACACAGCAAAGGCACGGGGCAGCAATGGCACAACGCAGCAACGGCACTACACAGCGCTACACAGCACAGAGCGCTGCACACAGCTGCCTGATGTCTACACTCTGTGGAGAGGAGACAGATCACACCGGCAACAGAGGCAGCCTTCCCCCAAGCGCCACCTTCCCTAAACCCCACCTATCCCCTTCCCCAGTTCCCATCTGCATTTGGCCGACCAAACAACCCCCCCGCAACCCCCCCACCACCCCCCCACCACCCCCCAGTCCCCACCTGCAGTTGTTTTTCCCAACCTAACCATCCCCTCCCCCATATGTCACCTGCATTTGGACGGCCAGGTACTGATGGCAACAGAGGCGGAGACGAGCACAGAGGAGACTACCGAACTTCCCCATATGTTCAGATGATACCTTCCCCAGGCACCCCCTTCCCCAGATCCCACCTGCACTTGGGCAGCCAGGTGCTGAAGGCAACAGAGGCGGAGAGGGGGATCGAGGAGGCGTCGGAACCATCCTCGAACCTTCCCAGCATTTTCCGGCACATGAGGTAGAGGGAGAGGGCGCCCCCTTGGCTGATTCCCCCGACTGCATAAGTGACGTCTGGAGAAACACACGAGGAGAGCACAAGGGAGGGAGAGACAAGGGAGAAAGCGCCCGTTTGGCTGATTTTTCTTGAGTCGACTTTAAAGTCACGTCTGGAGAAACACACGAGGAGATCACAAGGGGGGGAGAGAGAAGGGAGAAAGCGCCCCCTGGCTGATTTTCCTTACTGCATACTTGACGTCCGCAAAAGCATGAGGAAGCAAGAGAGAAACGTGAGCGACGGGGAAGGAGGGGAGAACAACGAAGGGGTTGGAGGGGGAGAGCGCCTCCTTGCGTGATTCTCCGCACTGCAAGGGTCGTGTCAGGAGGAACATGGCCAGCAACAGAAACACCCCACACCAACCCATCCACTCACCCACACCAAACCACACCAACCCACACCAACCCATCCACCCACCCACACCAACCCACACCAACGCACACCAACCCATCCACCCACCTGGGCTGGCCCGTTTCTCTTCCAATAGCCAGCGTATCTTGCAGCCGCATCAAGGCCTAGGTGGGTGGAATGCATAGAAATGATATGAGACTATAACAGCATTCACCTCTCGCTCTGTTATAGTCTCAGGCCATTTCTAAGCATTCCACCCACCCAGGTCATTTCTAAGCATTCCACCCACCCAGGCCATTTCTAAGCATTCCACCCACCCAGGTCATTTCTAAGCATTCCACCCACCCAGGTCATTTCTAAGCATTCCACCCACCCAGGTCATTTCTAAGCATTCCACCCACCCAGGTCATTTCTAAGCATTCCACCCACCCAGGTCATTTCTAAGCATTCCACCCACCCAGGTCATTTCTAAGCATTCCACCCACCTGGGTTGGCCGGCTTCTCTTCCTCCAGTGTTCCAGCCACGTATCTCAAACCAGCACTGCTGCTGCCCTTAAAATCACTCCTTCATAAGGTTTGTTTTGAGACGTCGCAAAACAAACCTTGTAGCACAGCTGCTGCTCTTAACTTAACATCACTCCTTTTTCCTGAAATAGTATCGGCTTGGGTCCTTTCTACCTAATCCACCCACCCAGGATAACCCCCTCCAGTATCCCAGCCACGTATCTCAAACCAGCACTTCTGCCCTTTATGCCTAGCCCTTTCGTGATCATCTAATCGACATAGAACCTACCCGGATTCGCCTTCCTCTCCTCCTCCAGGATCCAGCACATACTCGAACCAACAGCATCAGCACCTTTTGCGCCATTCAGCGCCCCCCAAACCCAACCCACCCGGATTCGCCTTCTTCTCCTCCTCCAGGATCCCAGCCACATATCTCGCAGCTGCATCAATGCCCTTGGCGTCGACAGGAGCACCGGCGTTGAACCCAAAGACGTCGTACCCTGGTGGGGAGGGATGGAACGGCAATCACAGCCCGGTAAAGGTTTTGAGGCGCCTCAAAACTAGACTCCTATCACGCGGCAATCACAGCCGGGTAAAGGTTTTGAGGCGCCTCAAAACTAGACTCCTATCACGCGGCAATCACAGCCGGGTAAAGGTTTTGAGGCGCCTCAAAACTAGACTCCTATCACGCGGCAGAACAGAGGAAAGATTGTAAGCTGGCTCAAAACTCACACGTGAATGAAATGCACAGAGTCGACTCAAAAGTCACTCACAAGTCACTCAAAAGCCACCTCATTGGCTCAAGAATCACACAGGTATGAAGTGCATCCACAGATGGGTGCGGAGAAGCGGAGCAACATCTCTCGCCTAGATTAATCCAAAACTAGAGCTACTATTAGCAGGCTTTCAGCAGATCAAATCAATTCCATTTCCTTCCCAGACGGGCGGATAAGTGGCTGGGCAACATGAGTGTGAGAATCTTATTCCCACCCCCGTCAGGGTGGGACTGACTCACATGAGGGGGCACGATGGGCATGGTTGACTGTGACAGGCGCTATAGGCGCTACAGGCACTACAGGCGCTACAGGGGCTACCGACGCTACAGGTGCTACAGGCGCTACAGGGGCTACAGGCGCTACAGGGGCTACAGGCGCTACAGGGGCGCTGGGAAAGTTTGGAGTCAGCAAGGCGTGTGAATGAGTGGGAATGACTCACATGAGGGGGCGCGACGGCCACGGTTGATGGTGACAGGTGCTACAGGCGCGCTGGGGAAGATCCACTTGATCTGCACACATGTGGGAGAGGCGCACACACGTGGGAGAGGCGCACACACGTGGGAGAGGTCGAGAAATGTGTTGCATGGTTGGGAGTCCCCGTACTCAGCATAAGCCACGGCAGCCAGCCACCAGGAGACTCCGTAGGGAATGTGTTGCCTCCTTGGAAGCCCCCTCCCCCATATTCAGCATCCGCCATGCAGCCAGACACCGGGAGACCTCGTAGCCAGTTTGAGTGAGGAGACGATTTTCTCGGCGCCTACCTAAAACACATGTGGTAGGTAGGCACACTTACATGTGGGAGGTCGAGAAATGGGATGCTTGGTTGGGATTCCCCGTTTTCAGGATCCGCCATGGCAGCCAGCCACCGGGAGACCCCGTAGCCAGTGTCGCCCAGCCCATGCAGCCACACTATGGTGGCTGCATGCTGCCCTGCCACGGCTGGCAGCACTACGGTCTCCCTCGCTGGCTTGCCTGGGGGAGAGGGTAAAGGGGGCGAGTGAGAGAGGAAGGAATGAGAATAAATGACCTCTTTGTAGCCAGTGTCCCCCAGCCCATGCAGCCACACTATGGTGGCTGCATGCTGCCCTGCCTCCCATGCAGCCACACCACGGTGGATGCATGCTGGCTGCCAGCGCTGGGAGCAATACGGTCTCCCTCGAAACGTGGGGAAGTGGGGGGGGGGGGGAGGGAAGTGAGGGGGCGAAGGGATGATGAGGGGGATGGATACCGCCTTCATGCCAGAGAACAACGCGGGTGAGGGGGAAAGGGAAAACGAGTGAGAGGGGAAGCTTTTGGAGGCGTCTCAGAAGTTTTGTTCTGGGACGTCTAACCTACTTAACCTTCCACGTGGCAGGGAGCAATTGCGGGTGAGGGGGAAAGGGCAAACGAGTGAGATGGGAAGAGAGGGAGGAATGATCCAGCGCTGCAAATTCTGCAGAAAAGGGTGAAAGCAACCATAACAACTCAGCAACAGAAGAGAAGTGGTGTATTTTGAGTCGACTAAAAAAAAAATCATAACAATTCAGCAACAGAAGAGAAGTGGTGTATTTTGAGTCGACTCAAAAAGCAATCATACAGCAACAGAAGAGAAGTGGTGTATTTTGAGTCGACTCAAAAAGCAATCATAACAATTCAGCAACAGAAGAGAAGTGGTGTATTTTGAGTAGACTCAAAAAGCAATCATAACAATTCAGCAACAGAAGAGAAGTGGTGTATTTTGAGTCGACTCAAAAAGCAATCATAACAATTCAGCAACAGAAGCGAAGTGGATGGAAGCGACATAGCATTAGCGAGCAAGGCTTGCTGTTTGAGCATGCTGCTTTCGCTTGCTGGAAGCGAGCTGAGAACGACTTGCTTACTGAACGGCGATTGGTCTGTTGCTTCTGCAGCAGCCAGGCCCCCGGTGGGTGCGGGTGCGGTTTCAAGTTCGGGTTCGGGTGCGGGTGCGGGTGCGGGTGCGGGTGCGGGTTCCGGTGCCGGTGCGGGCTTTAAAGGTATTTCTCCAGGGTCTTTGATGCAGAACATTCTTCTGAGGAACCTTCTTAATTTCTCAGGGAGATTTTCACGGACGGCCATAATGGTTCCTGGGGGAAAAGAAAAGAAAGCAGGGGCCATTGTATAGATTATGAAAATTATTACCATGCATGTGATCAGGAATACATTTCCTTAAAAAAAAGGCACGAGGACGGGGCCTGAAGAGACGTCACGTTGCAAGAGAACTCTCATGTGCGTCGCACGTGCTTCACACGTGCTTCACGCGCGCTTCACACGTGCTTCACAACACTGCAAGATGAGGCACCTGAAAACGCCACTTGGATCCAGGAGCAGGAAGGTATCCGTATTAAATGCTCGCACTCGCGCGTCAATAGTCGCTATTGATTGGACCAGAAATGCCGAGTAAAGAGAATCTGAGCACCACGGAAACGCAGCCAGTGCTACCCTGGGTGATCGCAGCTCGGGGGCTGAGCTGTAGTAGCAGGAGAAGAGAGCTCGCAAAGGGAAGCAGGCAGGAGCTACTTTTAACGAGGCGCTTGGCGGAGCAATATAGGAGGGGAGGCTTTCAAACGTCCCGAATTGCGGAGCACGACAGGAGGGCAGCGGATAAGGAGTTCCTGAGCAGCAGGCAGAGGCGGCATTCGCGGAGATCATGCCTTCTAACGCAGCCACTTTGTTGGAAAAAATGGGTTTGGGGAGGGGCGAAAGGGAATGAGGGGGGTGGATTGCCCCCCACGCCACGCATGCCATGGCTCCGAAAATGCAACGCAGATTCCGCTAGTCCGAGGTACTATTGCACAGTAGTGCAAGGGTCTACCTAACAGATGGGTCTGAGCTGAGGTTGCCTAGTAGACTCCACAGCAGGTGGCGTGCCTCCGTGCTGACTTTTCGTTTTAGGGTTCCGGTACAGCTCGGCGTGGTGCAGCTTGCATGGAATCTGTGCTTTGCAGATAGATACAGTACGGTGCGAGTTTCAAATTTCACACTTTGGAAGCACCCTTTCCGGGAGGAAGGAGGGCCAATCGAAGCGAGGGGGTTGCTTGATCATGGGGAGGATGACGAGGACGACCAACCACGGGAGTTGCCCGCGTCGCCACGCCAATCGCATTCGCCGCCGAGCTTTTCCGCCTGGCGTTTGCTACAAACACCGCCCAACACACTAAATGCTGCTCGTCTAGACGACTGGCTTCGTAAGGAATTTTCCATTCCTTAACGCGCCACACCGCTAACGCGTACCCTTACCTCACGCCAAGCCGAACTATTTCGCGACACTCCGAAGCGATCTACGTCCTTGGATGCCTTCGTCGAGCCTGTTCGATCGCACGGTTAAGATTGCTCTGGTGTTCCTATATCTTGCTTCGTCATTCCATTGTACGATAATTCTGTTATTCTGAACCTCGACATTCGTTTCCGCACTACTCTGGTGAAACACTCATAACAGGCTTCTCCCACGTAACATAACACGTCGAAGAGTCTATCTTTGATACTTGCATACATACTACTCTCTCGTTATATACGGATAGATGAACCATAGTTGTACCGTAATCCCCCGTATAAAACACCCGCCGGAATTAAGCTCCCCCGGGTAGCTTGAGCGGGTATGGGTGTTTAATTTTTCTGGATATACACAACACCCTACTCTCGGACGTGAAAACATTTGAACACCCCCTGCCACTAGAATCTCCATTTCTAGCAGGAAACGCCAGAATTTCGTGTTGCGTCGTTCCGCGGCTCAATCGCAAAAAAAAACTGCTCGCGCCGAAAATTTACTGTACAGATTCCCGCGTGTCGGAAACAATGTCGCCTGAACAAAGGTTTTGAAACATGCCCATGAATCTCGGCAGGCTGAACCTGACGTTGCACCTTGTGGAACAACACTAAAACATTTCGCGTCAGAATTCGCGACACTGTAGCTCGCGAGCCTGGGAAGGTTCCCTGGGAAGGGGTAACAAACAGTGAAATTGATGAATAGTGAGAGAGAGTACACAAACATATACCTAAATGTTGTACTCTCTAGAAGATAACCCTATACAGTCTATACAAGCATGATAACTAAACATGTTTGACACACCCCCTGGACTGCATAGGGGAATGTTCTAGACAAGCAGCTCAGGGTGGCACTACTAGTCCAGCCTCTGAGACAAGGGTCTAAAAGACCAGTCAGAAGGAGTACAGGCAAGGCAAGAACTAGTACAGGGCGGCACTACTAGTCCAACCACTGTAAGAGGACACAAGTCCAGTCTGAGTGTACACACAGATATATAGGACAGTACAGAGTCAAGGCCCAAGTAAGTGAGAGACTACAGGAACCAGACCAAGCTGCACACAGTGCCGCTGATGATCTTTAGGCGCAAGCGCCTTCGTAAAGATATCAGCTGTGTTGGCACCGGAGGCTAAGTGTACTACGCGAGCCAAGCGACGCTGCTGTAGCTCGCGCAGGAGGAAGTACCGCAGCTGGATGTGCTTCGCTCTGCCCTCGAGTCGAGGCTCCTGACACAGGAGGATCATGGCCCTGTTGTCAGCGTACAGGACCGGGGCAGAGCTAGGCCGCTCACCTAAGTCAGTGAGCAAGAAGGTCAGCCAGCGGAGCTCCTGTGCCGCCATGGCACCGGCGTAGATCTCGGCCTCACAGCTGGACTGGGCAACAGACGAAGAGCAGGTAGCTCTCCACGAGACAGCACCTGAACCAAGGCTAAAGCAGTAGCCCTGGGAAGACCTGAGCGTCTCGGCGTCGTCTGCCCAAGAAGCGTCTGCGTGTCCAGTAAGGACCACTGGCCTGCGTCCGCCTAGCACTAACCCCATGCCCGATGTACTTGCAAGATAACGCAAAACCCTCTTAGCGGCAGACCAGTGCTGAGGTCGGTGCCTGCCTGTGGCCACGAAACGAGCCAGGATGCTGAGAGGGTATGCGAGATCTGGGCGAGTGCAAGTCATCAGGTACATGAGGCAACCCACTAGCTCAGCGTAAGGACCACTGGGATCTACCGACTCCTCAGGAACTGGAGCGGAGAGTCTGTGGTCCAGAGGAAGAGGGGTGGGCTGTGCGGAGGAGAACTGAAGGCCGAACCTCTGAAGGACCTGGCGCACCAAGTGTGACTGAGTCAGGGTGATGGTGCGCGCGGCTCTGTCCCTGGAGATCTGCAAGCCAAGGTAACGACGCAGCTCTCCAAGGTCAGTGCAGGTGTGTCTCTTCAGCAGCTCTGCCTTCACGGAGGCCAGTGCGTCCCTGTCAGCAGTGGCAAAGACCAGGTCGTCTACGTAGACGAGGATGTAGAACGGAGTCGAGCCAGCACGAACGAAGAGCGAGGGGTCTGCAGAGGACGGAAAGAACTGCAGGTCAGCAAGGGTAGCACGCAAAGTGTCGTGCCACTCACGAGGCGCCTGGCGCAGGCCGTAGACTGGCCGCCGCAGAAGCCACTGGGTCCCAGGGGGGAAGGTGCCAGTAAAGCCCTGAGGGCGACGCAGGTAGACCTGCTCGTGAAGGCTGCCCTGAAGAAAGGCAGTGGAGAAGTCGAGGGAGTGAAGCTCGTAGTCACGCTGAGCCGCTACGTGTAGCAGCACCCGAAGAGTAGTCATCTTCGGGGTAGGAGCGAAAGTCTGAAAGAAGTCCACCCCCTCGCGCTGACTGAAGCCTCTAGCCACGTAGCGCGCCTTGAACACAGGCGGCTCTCCAGGAGGGCGCTTCACCTTGAAGAGCCAACGGCCATCGACCACGTTCACCCCAGGTGGGGGAACTGCGTCGACGAAGGTGCCGGTGGATCTCCAAGATGCCATCTCCTGCTCCATGGCAGCTATCCACTGAGAGGCCCAGGGTCCCGAAACCGCCTCAGCGTAAGTACGAGGGGTCGGGATGTCGAAAGCGTCTGGGTCACCCTCAGGGACTAGCAGCATGGAACAGAGATGGGGAGCAGCCTCGGACAGGAAAGCAAGCTCAAACTGGCGGTCCTCCAGGACGTCACTGCCGAGGGCAGGAGCACCCCCGACAGACGGAGGACAGGCAGGGTGAGAGACCAGAGCGGTGGCGTAGTCAAGGCGGCGGGTAGAGGCGAAGTCAGCGACCGCAGCGACGAGGGCGTCAAGACTCGACACGGGAACAGACGGGTCGGTAACGAGAGAGGCAAGGACCCGAGGAACAAGAGGACGAGCGGCACGAAAGGAGTCGGACAGAGGAGGAGACGCAACGACAAGAGAAGACGGAGGAGGAGACGGGAGGAGGGGAGGTCGAGACGCGTGGGAACGGAGCAACATAGGGTGAGAGCGCGGGACAGGGGAGACAGGACGAGCACGAGAGGGGCGGCGAGACCAGACGTGTGAGGGCGGCGTCGGGTCAGGAGACAGAGGAGGGGAGACAGGAGGGGAACGAGGGGGAAGACGAGCCGGGGACGAGTCTGGCAGAGGGAACACGGGGCCGTAGACGGGAAGAGGGGGAGACGGCAGGAGAGGAACAGGCGCAGGGTCAGGAGACGGAAGGCCGAGCAGACGGAGGGCGGACACAGGCGGGGACTGCTGCTGCGGCGACACAACACCAACACCAGGGCCACAAGCTGCGCGACGGCTACCTCCCGAACCCTCCACACCTGCACCCCCAGAAGGGACACCCCCAGAGTCCACAAACGGCGGCAGCGACGACAGCGGCGGCGGCGGCGGCGGCTGCGACGGCGGCGGCGGCGGAGACGACGGCTGCAACGGCGGCGGCGGTGGAGACGACGACTGCAGCAGCTGCGGCGACGGCGGCTGCGGAGGCGGTGGAGGAGGAGACACCGGGGGAGGGACAGACGGCGAGGACTGCGCCGGAGGACTACCAGAGTCAGAAGACTCGTCGACCGGGACGACCGACGGGAGGGGGGTGACGTGAGACACACCAGAGGGGGCCGGACGGGGGGGCGGGGGGGGGGAGGGGCAGGGACCACCAGGGAGGGAGGAACCAGGAAAAGGGGGGGAGTAACCGGGGGACCACGGTGGGGAAAGCGGCGGTAGAAGGAGACGGACTCGTCAAAGGTGACGTCGCGAGAGTGAAAGAAGCGGTGAGACGGCGGGTGGTAGAAGTGCCAGTCGGACGCGTCAAGGGGGAAACCGAGGAAGACGCAGGGGAGGGTGCGGGCAGTGAGCTTGTCCGTGCCAGAGGCACGAACGTGAGCAAGGCAGCCCCAGACGCGGAACGCAGACGCGTCACCAGGGGACCCGGTCCACAGAAGGGTCGGCGAAACCTGCGGCCGCTGGGGGTGCGGCCACAGGTTAAGCTGGTGAGCGGCGTAGCGCACGGCGAACGGCCACAGAAAATGGGGTGCACCGGCGTGGATCATGGAGGTGCGAGCCACCTCCATGACCAAACCGATGCGTCGCTCAGCGACCCCATTCTGCTGCGGGGAGTCCGGCAGGGTAAACGTCTGGGTGATGCCCTCCGCACGACAGAAGCGACCAAGGACACCTGAGGCAAACTCGCCACCCCGGTCGGAGTGAAGGCGCAAGGCAGGGAGACCGCGGTGGACACGAGCAGAGACAAGCCAGGGGATGAGAACGTCAGGCACGTCGGGCTTCCGCTCCAGGGGGAAGACGGTGGTGTAGCGCGTGAAGTCGTCGACAAGCACTAGGAAGAAGCGCTCGCGACGCGGCCCATGGACCGGGGCTGGGCCCCAGACGTCCATGTGCAGAGTCTGCAGTGGTGCGGTGGTAGGGGGAAAAGCGGAGGAGTGAGGGGCACGGCGGAGCCGGCCCTCGACACAAGGCGTGCACGGTGGGGCGGGGGAGGAGGGAAACTCGGGGAACGAACCGGGGAGACCAAGGACGAGACCGTGCTGGGACATGTGACGCAGACGTG